CACTTACAGAACAGATGTTTTAAATCTTGTGAAATAGTGTTTTCTTTTGGCTATGTTAGTTTCTCTGTAAAGTTCCTCATGACTTGTACCCCTTGTCGCCCCACAAATAGTCCGTAATGAATCTAAGTGTAAACTTTCTAGGATTGATTCTTCTTCTTTGGTACAATTATCCCAGATATGGGAGCAAACACATGGGCAATATATGCTTGTACATAACTTCTAACGACTTTAACTTGAAACTGAATAGTTTCTGTTTCCTTTGGATTAAATTTTACTTGCTTTAATCCAATTGGTAATTTTCTCCAAATTGGCATTACTATTTTACGCAGTAGTATTTTGAGTTGTCCATTTGGGGAATTGTCTGGACCCCATCGCAAACACAGTAAACATAAATTCTAAGGGTGAAAATATATACAATAGTTTGTTGGCTCGACATGCTAAGCTCCATCGTTTTAGTTATAATGTAAAAATAATAGTGATTTTGAATTATATTAAAACTTTTTAAACATTTATGTATTTGAGGTGAGAGGGATAGCGACACACATATATAAACATGCCCTATTTTATGATAATGATTGTACAATTTGGATTCCTTTTAATCTGTTTCGTCAAACAAATATAGGATTTGATGTTGTCATATCGTGAATCAATTTTTTTAATATTCACTTGATGACTTTGTTGTGTACTTGTCTTGTAAGTAAATTTCATTTCTTCCAAATGTTCTATTGCGAACACATATAGAGTCAGCGCTCATGATTGTCATATCTATTGCACGAATGAATGAACATATCATCATTAATAAACTTCACTGTGTGTTCTGAAGTCAAATCTCTGTAAGGCATCCTGCACTGCTTCGTTCATGTTTACCCTCAAATGTACGATAGAAAAATCTGTGTGTCTTTCGCGCGTCAATCTTCTGCTGTCACAATCGTTATATCAAACTTATGTTTGAGGTCTTGGTGAAATTAAATCAAAATGCAATTAAATCAAGCGTATCAGAAGAGAAATGTCGATCGTTTAGTGACACCATTAACGACTGTAAGTGATCAATCACATATACTTACTAGATAATATCGAAGTAAGGATAAGAATTTATGGATGAACAACTTCTTAATTACAATTAAGAGCGACGTTTCGATGTAGGTTCTAACACCGTTATCAAGCAAGTGATTTAAGAATGGATGTATTTGTTCTCAAGGTTGTTGAGTCGGTTGATGGTTGAGATTGCCACGTCTCCATGAAGACGACGAATAACTTCTTTGATAGGCATTTAGAAGTTGGAGTACTAAGTAAGGATAAGAATTTATGGATGAACAACTTTTTTATTACAATTAAGAGCGAATTTTCGGTGTAGGTTCTAACACCGTTATCAAGCAAGTGATTTAAGAATGGATGTATTTGTTCTCAAGGTTGTTGAGTCGGTTGATGGTTGAGATTGCCACGTCTCCATGAAGACGACGAATATCTTCTTTGCCTATCAAAGCAAGTGATTTAACCTATCGGTTAAATGTGAGCCATAATTCTTGGGAACAATCGACGCGAATAGCTAGACGATTGTTGGTGCGGCGTTAAACAACAATCACTCAATCACTCAAAAGAAATAGATATGTTTCATTTTGTAACACCCTAAACAATACAAATATAAACCATGTCATAATTACTTATAAGCACCGCGCCAGGAAAAGCACCAGACGCCTCAATCTCTTACCCGTCAATATCATTGCGAGGAGAGAAAGGACTCCCGCTAACAGTGAGGAGTACTAATTAAACATTCCAGTAATGTTACACGCCACTATATCAGTTTTATTTGTAACTTGCTAATAATTTTGATCGGCTTTTTGCACATACAAAACAATTAAAGAATAATACATAGCAATATCCCCCTTTACCAACATTTACAAAGCAACACAGTACTCAACTTAAAACTCTTCATTTTGCACATATACAATAATTATACACGAATACATAACAATTATCTCCCTTTACTGATGTATATACAAAGAAAAACAATTTTGGATACATCATATATACAAAATTGTATATTTTTGTATATCTCATCATTCCAAACTTGTATATGCTTTGGATATATCATCTTTCCAAAGCATATACAAGCTTGTATATGTGGATTTTTTTTGCAGTGATCGATGCTTTTGATGTCAATAACTGGATTGTCTGGTCCAGACTCGATTATTTACAAACCACCCTCATATAGCTGGTATATAGCTGCGTGCGACTTTTAATGACAAACAATCAAACAAAAACTATTATTAAACACCTTCCAACCATGAGAAATTAAACTTTTATTTTCTATCTATTTAGTTTTATTTATAAAATAATTGGATTAATAATTTAATCATTGTATTGCCTTCTTGTCTGTCATGCAATGCACATGTTCAAACCCCTAAACTTTGAATATTTGATTTTTCACAAATTTTATTGTTAGTGAGTTGCCTCGATCTCTGGTTACCTACTCACATGAACAGGTCATAAGGATTTGGTTGTACTATCATGCTATGATATTTCAGTTGATTTAATTCATAATAAAAAATAAATAATTCACTTATCACAGTAAGAATCATATATTCGTTTATATCACTATCTGATGTTAAGGTTTTATTTCAGAAATGATAATGAATTCAAAATGCAGAAAGATGCACAATTTGCCATTATTTTAAATGCAATATTTCTCAATTTTTATAATGTACATAGTATAATATAATGATTAGAATGCATGTAACGGGCAGTATTAAAGAAAGAAATATTTGTCAATTAGTCCTATTTTTCAGAAATGCGCTTCAGTAGTATTATTGTATCTCCAGAAAGATGTTTACATTAAAGATCTCATTATTTGTGGATAATTCAAAAAGCAACAAAAAAAATATATATTTAACCATGACGAAAGAAAACAGAGTATACAATAACTTGCAATTGTTCAAAAAAAGATTACAAATCACAATAACATATCTGATATAAACAGACTTGTGTGAGGTGGTAATGCTTTAATCTCAACATTGTACCCTTGTTCGTGAACCCTTGTTCTATTTACCAAACACCCCAAACCCGAAACTCCACAATATATCCTATTACACTGATCCAGGATGGCCCTAGCAGGATTCTCCGTACACGTCAGTTCGCCATGCGATCCTGACACCCTTCTATGTCTCCAAGACCATAGAGAACAAACTTGTCACCTCACTTCTATCCCTGAAAGTAAGCATCGTTCTGTGCTCCTTTACATTATAATTTGTAGCTACATAGTTTTAACTACGTAAATTTTACTGACAACAGTACTGCCCCTGTTGAAGCTATGTATAGCTGGAATAAGAATGTCGAATTGTCGTCCATTGTTCGATGTCAATACTTCGATGACAAGTGACGAGATCATATAGTATTCGTTGATGCCGTGCAACACTATAATATCAATTATAATATCAAGTTGACTAGTATGTACATTACTACAGTGAACATGTACATGATCATTCACTTCGTAATATCAAATACTTATATCATATTGTGTGATAAATTCAACTGGATCAGTTATTAATGTATTATTAATGTTCCATCAATTTCTTGCCTGGTTGGTCTATCCATGTATACAAAAAAAAAAAATTTTAAATTAAAAAGGAGCACAGACCAATTTATTAATTTCAGGCTAGAACTGTGGGAACCTAGACTTTCCCAAACATTGTAGACTTGAGTTGGTCTCCTTTGTTACTTCTCTTGGGTCTACGTCACAGCTCATACCACACAATAACAAGATCAGTTTGCCCCGCCGGAGCTCCTTGATTTTAGTTATGTCATCTAACATGGCCAACTCTGCTCTTAAGTAAACAAGAACCTAATAAAGTGAGGGGTCCTTAATCATCCCTATTTGACTGCTTATACAAATCTGATATCTCTCCTCCCAGCTAAATAATATATATTTCTGCTAAATATTCGAAACAGAGTGAGTGAGTTGGTACTACATTTGTATATGGTCCTATTTTAAATGATTGCAGCGCTCCAATATGAAAACAAATTGTGTGTGTTGTTTAACGCCATTCTCGGAAGTATTCCAGTGATATATGACGGTGGTCTGTTATATACGAAATAAATGCAACTTGAATCTTTCATCACATGCAGTACACGGTATATCAATTGCAATATACAGTACACAACATGCAGTTTACAGTGTGTCGCGAGCTCTCCGCTGAGCATGCAGGAGCACACGTTTCTACAACTACATGTTTGGAACTGTGAGTTGAACAGTATACAGAATATGGCACTATAAATGTACATTTCTTTTTCATAAGGAAAATTACATGGTATCATTCAAAGACTAAGTTAGGACCATCGCGTCAGTTCGAATAAAAAAAAAACATATTTGGTTCGCAAAAAGAATAGTGGTGTATGTGAAATTTTCTTGTTATGTGTTATGTTTTCGATATTTGTTTTAGTCGAAATTTAACTTTAGATCTCACCCCTTTTCTCAATGCTTTTGAGATTTGTGTTTGTTTTGGGATTCAGACAGGCAACGAGACTCGTGTCCCGGAGGGCGGAAGGTCTGGGGCTCGAGCCCCGGCCGTTTCATACCAACAGACGTTAAAATATGGTACTTGTTGTTACCCTGTCTGGCGCTCGGCATTAAGGGGCTAAAACAAGGACTGGTCGGCTGGGAGTCAGTATACTGTGTCTGAGTGGGGTATTCATGTTAAACTGTGGCATGCTGATATCTCGGTGAGCTAGCACTATGAATCGACATCAGTCCGGACTAGTACAAGCAGCCATACACACGACCACGTGCATGCACGTCGCTATGTAAGTGCAATAAAATTGCGACGTTAAACCCAATTTCACCTCACCTCACCTGTTGAAGTACGCATGTGTAGTGTGGGAGTATGTGCATGGTGTAGTAGAAGAGCGATATACCCTGTGTTTGTGCGTATGGAATGCGCCATTATATATCTGGCTTGTCTGCTTGTTATGTTTTCCTCAAGGCTTAAACTCATGTTCGATCACAGGTCCTATCCCTGATTGAAAGATCGGAAAAGACAGGTAACCAAGCGGGAAAAGTATGGAGTATTTCATGAGAAATAGGAACAAACAGATATTTGCGGGTAGGTCCTTCTCTTTTGGTTTCTAAATCATCTTACCTAACCTAAAAACTGATATTTTAACATTTGTCATTATATGCCCCCTGTCCTTCTCATTTTTTCATATATTTGAATACAACTCCTCATTTATTCAAAACTCTGTTTACAATATTTTTTCTTATCAAATAAGGCTCGGTTTAAACAGGGTCTGTTTATGCTGACGTATTATCATTAACCACATGGCTGAGGTTTCAACCCCTTTGTTACTGACACGACAGAACTTGTAAATATCGAAAATGCACCCAGCGTTGTTACGTTGTCAGGTATTGTCATGCAGTCCAACGATGTGTACACACAGCGATATTGGCATCATACTGGCTGTGCAACACTGAGACATGTTCAGTGTCGATGTACTGGGCTCCATCTCAGTCAGCTGAAAATCAAGCAATATACACGTTCCATCCTTAGTTTCCAAAATTCCTCAACGTGAGTGAGTGAGTATGGTTTTACGCCGCTTTTAGCAATATTCCAGCAATATCACGGCGGGGACACCAATATGGGTTTCACACATTGTACCCATTTCGGGAATCGAACCCGGGTCTTCGGCGTGACGAGCGAACGCTTTAACCACTAGTCAGGGCATTTTGAGCGGATGCCTTTGCAACAAAAATCATTCACATGTGAAATACTTAATGGACAACACATGTAAAAGTCCTCTACTTTTCAAAATCACAAAACTTGCTGCTAAAAATCACATTCATATTTTGTCCAGGATCATTTTTATGTTTCTTTGATCAGGTTATGATAAAACGTCGGATTGTCTTCACCATCAGAAATGTAAAACAGTTTGAGAAGAAAGGACAATTTTAAATGTGGATATATTTTTGCACCAATTCACATGAAAGCGGCATCACACGAACAGAATTTATCGTACGATTCCGACTATACCATACGGATGCGGTTATGGAACACTGTTGATGATACCAGGTGTTCATCGATAAATGGCTCATGAAGCAGCGTGTGTTTATGTAAAAGAAACACGTAAACTGTATCTTTATTGTAGATCCGTTTGGTACATAATCAAATATGTTTCAAAGGCAAACGACACTGTCTATGTATTGATGTATTGTTGACTGACATGGTCGTATGATGCCGCTTTCAGGTAAATTGGTGCAAAAATATATCCACATTTAAAATTGTTGTACATTTTTTATGATGAAGACAATCAGACGTTTCATCATAACCTACCCTAAGAAACATAAAAATGAGCCTAGACAAAATACTAATGTTATTGTTTATATATGTTTTGAATCTTTAAAAAAAACACGGGTTCCCTATTCAGCCCGAGGGGACATCAGGTGAAGGAGTAAGCATATACTCCGAAACATTGTGTTGTTTATCATAAAGAAGTTGACATCCATACATTCTCTTCCTTATGCGTTTCACTTCTAAATGCCTAATGTGCTTGCCGTTGAAAATAACACTATGTAACTAATACTTTGACAGCATATTGAAGGTACATACATATAAAACATTTTAATTACTTATATTAAAGCAACACAATTGTCTTCATTTTAGTCTACGGTCTACAGTGTTCAAGGAATCATCTAGGTCCTTTTTTTGGTAGCTTCACTGTTGTTTTTGAGAGAATGAACAGTAAAGGCAGTAATGTTGCAGGTGCCGTTATTTTAACGGTGTGTCTGATCCTGGGAGTTACAGTCAAATGGGGTTCACGTGAAGGAGTGCCAGAAAGTAAGTGATACTGTAATATGATTCTCTTACATCACTGTAATATACATGGCATCAGTGTAAAATAACTGACAGTGTCAAGTAACTGACATCAGTGTAAAGTAACTGACAGTGTAAAGTAACTGACAGTGTACAGTAACTGACATCGGTACAATTTAACTGACATCAGTGTAAAGTAACTGACAGTATAAAGTAACTGACATCGGTGTAAAGTAACTGACAGTGTGAAGTAACTGACATCAGTGTAAAGTAACTGACAGTGTAAAGTAAATGACAATGTACAGTAACTGACATCAGTGTAAAGCAGCTGACATCATTGTAAAGTAACTGACAGTGTAAAATAATTGACAGTGTAATGTAACTGACATCAGTGTAAAGTAACCGACAGTGTAAAGTAACTGACAGTTTACAATAACTGACAGTGTAAAGTAACTGACATCAGTGTAAAGTAACTGACATCGGTGTAAAGAAACTGACAGTATACAGTAACTCACAGTGTAAAGTAACTGACAGTGTGAAGTAACTGACATCAGTGTAAAGTAACTGATATCAGTGTAAAGTAACTGACATCAGTGTAAAGTAACCGACAATGTAAAGTAACTGACATCGGTGTAAAGTAACTGACAGTGTAAAGTAACTGACAGTGTAAAGTAACTGACAGTGTGGAGTAACTGACATCAGTGGAAAGTAGATGACATCGGTGTAATGTAACTGACAGTGTAAAGTAACTGACATCAGTGTAAAGTAACTTACATCGGTGTAAGGTAACTGACAGTATACAGTAACTCACAGTGTAAAGTAACTGACAGTGTGAAGTAACTGACATCATTGTAAAGTACCTGATATCAGTGTAAAGTAACTGACATCAGTGTAAAGTAACCGACAGCGTAAAGTAACTGACATCGGTGTAAAGTAACTGAGAGTGTAAAGTAACTGACATCAGTGTAAAGTAACTGATATCAGTGTAAAGTAACCGACAGTGTAAAGTAACTGACATCAGTGTAAAGTAACTGATATCAGTGTAAAGTAACCGACAGTGTAAAGTAACTGATATCAGTGTAAAGTAACTGACATCAATGTGAAGTAACTGACATCAGTATAAAGTAACTGACATCAGTGTAAAGTAACTGATATCAGTGTAAAGTAACCGACAGTGTAAAGTAACTGATATGAGTGTAAAGTAACTGACATCAATGTGAAGTAACTGACATCAGTATAAAGTAACTGACATCGGTGTAAAGTAACTGACAGTGTAAAGTAGCTGACATCAGTGTGAAGTAACTAACATCAGTGTTAAGAAAATGACATTAGTGTAAAGTAACTGACAGTGTACAGTAACTGACATCAGTGTGATGTAACTAACAGTGTACAGTAACTGACATCAGTGTGACGTAACTGACAGTGTTAAGTAACTGACATCAGTGTGACGTAACTTACATCAGTGGGAGGTAACTGACAGTGTACAGTAACTGACATCAGTGTAATGTAACTGATATGAGTGTAAAGTTACTGACATCAGTGTGACGTTACTTACATCAGTGGGAGGTAACTGACGGTGTAAAGTAACTGACATCAGTGTAAAGTAACTGACAGTGTGAAGTAACTGACATCAGTGTAAAGTAACTGACAGTGTAAAGTAGCTGACATCAGTGTAAAGTAACTGACAGTATAAAGTAACTGACATCAGTGTGAATTCACTGACAGTGTAAAGTAACTGACATCAGTGTGAAGTATCTGACATCGGTGTGAAGTAACTGAAACTAGTGTGAAGTATGTAGCATTGACGTTAAGTCACTGACGGTATAAAGTAACCTCAGTGTAGAGTAACCTCGGAGTAAAGTAACTGACATCGGTGTTCAGTAAGTAACATCGGTGTAATGTAAGCAACACCAGTTTGATGTAAATGACATCAGTGTACAGTAACTGATACCAATGTATGGCTAGTGATGCATGTAGGCATATTAAAAGATATATTGCAAGAACTACTGTAATTTTGACTATCTATATTTGTGTCTATGTTGAAACCAGATCATACCCATTTGCAGACACATTCCTTATTACCAAGAATCATACCGCACTCTATGCAGCAGATAGTCTTGGTTGTCCTCAACGGTGTATTGAAATGATCGTACTGTGGATGTGGGTAAGAGAACCGGTTAGGCAGCTTCGCGTCAAGATCAATGAAAAAAGGGACCTTGGTCCCTGAGAATACATGTGATATTCATCAAACAAGTGCAATTATTTTCTCTGCACTCAGATTTCCCACGATCCCCTTAGTCGCCTCTTACGGCAAGCATAGGTAGGTAGCTGAAGACCTATTTTACCCGGGATCTTCACGTGTCTAATGTAGCAATGAGGCACACACTATTAACACTATGGGAACACTACAATCTTCATGATATCATACTTGCGATCAATGACACTACTGACACTATGGAAACACTACATTATATAAAGTGCTCTTTTTATAAACACCTCTGATCGTTGACACTATTGGAAAACTACATTCTGCAAAATGTTTCATGTGTAAACACCTGTGACCGGGAACATTTCTGACACTATGGAAACACTACATTGTACACAATGTCCTCTGTGTAAACACCTGTGACCGGTGACATTACTGACACTATGGAAACACTGCATTGTACACAATGTCCTCTGTATAAACACCTGTGACCGGTGACATTACTGACACTATGGAAACACTGCATTGTACACAATGTCCTCTGTGTAAACACCTGTAACCGGTGACATTACTGACACTATGGAAACACTGCATTGTACACAATGTCCTCTGTGTAAACACCTGTAACCGGTGACATTACTGACACTATGGAAACACTACTTTCTCTACAACATCATGTGTGACCACTGTTGGACCAGTGGTGCATATACGTTTCAGTTACACAGTACTGACAACAGAAACTAAACATTTAAAACAGATGAACAATGACAATATCAGAAGTCCTTAGAGATTATTAATAAACACTATTATCGTGTTAACATACACGGGTGGCCATGTCGTCTAAGGCACCGCGATTCGCTGTGCAGAGTGGCGTCCCTTGGAACGCCAGAAACCTATGATTGTGGGTTCGAATCCCGGTTCGCCCCCGATTATGTTTCTAGGTTTGTCAGCACCATACCCGTGCTCGTGGGTTTCACCGAAGTGATAAACGTCTGAGACCTGCATCACTTCGGGCTTTCGTCCCACACTAAACTGACATGTCGTGATATAACTGGAATACTGTTAAAAGTGGCCTTAAACCCAACTCACTCACTCACGTTAATATACACTATTATACCAATAATTAAATTACCATCTCTAGCTAACTCAGATTACAAACGTCAGTGGGATAGAACTAAGTAATCTAAATAATCTACAAAGGCCAAGAATGACTTGCTGGTCAACTCAACTTGAGATGTATTCGCAGGGGCAGGTGGTGACTTCGGAACCCATTTCTATCAGAAGAGGACTATTTCAGGACGATTCTTTCAGTCCTTTGCTTTTCTGTTTGTCATTAAATCCTTTAAGCTTTTTGCTAGGCAAAGAGGAAGGTTATCATCCTGGACCTCCTCAGGAGAGATCCCCAACACCCTTCACCTCGTTTACATTGATGACCTTGAACTTTTTGCCAATGGAGGATCCACACTCAGAAAACAGATTCTCCTTGTCGAGTCCTTTTCTAATGATATCGGCATGTCCTTTAGACTCTACAAATGCAACATTCTTCATCTGAAACGTGGCAGGGTAGAAGAGGGAGGATCAGTCAGTTTACTTGGAGGAGGAATTATTGACCATCTCGTGGAAGGTCAGGCCTATACGTACTTAGGGATGCAGATAAGGGGACAACTCCAGAATGCCCATATCAAGGAAAACCTTCGAGCAGAGTACAAATGCAGCCTTAAGAAAATCTGGAGTTTAGATCTGAACGCTCGCCAACGAGGAAAAAGCCACAAATAGTTATGCTGTACCCGTCCTTTCATATTCTTTTGGTGTTGTTGATTGGACGAAACAAGAAATTCAGGGTATTGACACCCTCACACGAAGAATGATGTCAGACAAGAGATATCACCACCCTCGCTCTTCCCTCAATCGCTTATATTTACCAATTATGATGGGAGGGCGTGGTTTGATTAATCTGGAGGCTCTCCATGATAGAATTGTTTTGTTCACTTCTGCACACTTTTATTTGTCTGATGATCCTCTTGTGAAGCATGTCAACACTCATGATGAAAACAAGGCATTCCACAGTTTTCTAAAACGAGGTAAGGATGTGGGACATAATCCCAATGTCAGTATTGATTTTGTTGATGGTTCTGCAATGCTGGACGGTACAGAAATAAGTGTCAACCAAGCGAAGTGCCATATGAAGTCGGCCCAGACTCAGTTTTTCAAGAAGAGGCTTTCTGAACGACCACTGCATCGAGTTTATGTGCAGTGTGTTGAGAACATCAGCAGTTCTGCAGAGTCGTCTGGCCTGAAAAGTGAAACAGAAGGCATTCTGTTCGCTGCCCAGGACCAGTCATTTCCCACTCGAAACCGTCAATGTGTGATTTTGCATCAAAATGTAAATATGAAATGTAGATTATGTAATGAATTTAATGAGACTGTTCAACACATTGTCAGTGGATGCTCAGCTTTAGAACAAACACTGTATCTTAAGCGACATAAGGGAGTGGGTCGATCATTTTATTACCGTCTTCGCCATTCTTGTGGTTTTGACACACATGTCGATCGATGGTACGACCCAGAATATGTAGAGGGCGTCATGGAAAATTATAAATACAAAATTCTTTGGAACAGGCCCGTATTCAGCCTCATTCGTATCCAGCCCAACAAACCTGATCGTGTCCTATTTGATAAATCCAATGAAATCTTTTAAATTATTGAATTTTTTGTCCCTTTTGACACAAACGTGATTGACAAGCTTCAGCAAACATGGCAAATATGCAGATCCCGCTTTCGAAATGTCACGCTTGCATCCCAGGTGCCAAGTTGTCCGACTCCCCATTGTTCTTAGTGCCTTAATTAGGTTTGGTACCTCCCAATCTGTTGACTGAGATTGGGAGAGTACCCGGATTTGCTACCAAGATTACAGCCCTTCTGACAATCTGGGTAATGCAGAAGACATTGGGGAGTCTTCACATTCTCCGAAAAGTTCTGGGTGGGTTTGACCAGGCAGCGCTTCCTGGGAGAAGTCCCATTTGCCGTCTGGGCTGCGTGTAGAGGTGGCAAGGGGCCTTAGCTGATGATGAGCCTTACCAGCCTGACTGTGCCTAACTGATCAACCAAACTCTTGCTGCATTGTTTATTTTTAATCTGTACATAACAATAATAACAATAATGATACTAGGTGAGGAGAAATGGTGTTTAACTATTGCATTTATACAGTGACGTACATGCACGTGTGTGTGTATGTATGTGTGTGGCTGCTTTTTGTTAATGCCGATTTCATACTGCTGGCCCATTGAGATACCATGCCACTGTTGAAAATGTATACTGACTCCGAGCCGACCAATTCTTATTTTTACCCCTTAAGGACGAGCGCCAGGCAGGATAACAAGTACCATCTGTGAACGTCTTTTGGTATGACGTGGCCGGGGATCACGGGCGCTCTATCACTGGACCACTGAGGCAGTGTAATAATAATAATGACAGTAATAATGACTGCTCTCATACATTTACAATTAATTTTGAACTTTGCATACACGTTTCCAGCGCAAGAGACGGGTCCCAAGGTTACGCTGCTACAAGACTTCAAGGCGAAAATAAAAGGTACATTTTCAAACTCCATATACTTGATAAACGTAGAGTTATACACTTGGCAGAGTGGTGTTCGACAAAACAGGTTTACTGTTATTGCGAGCTGCAGTGTTTGTTGACAAGTGATGGTTCCTATGACCATGTTTTGAATATAAATCACCGAGAAAAAAAATATCGAGAGTGCTTACAAATACAACGAAATGATTTGTATTCGGATCCAGACCTGTTTCGTCACTGCTTAACTTTACGATGGGCCTTACGCCATAACAATGTTTCTATAATCCGGACCTTAAGTATCCGGACGATTTGACTGTGAAAGGAGGTGAAACGAGGCTGCACTGTTTTCCTACATTACAGACAAATTAACTGAAAATGAACGCGTATATTGTCTTTATCAGTCAAATAATTTGTGTTAATGATTCTACTAATGATAATGATAACGACGACGACGAAGACGATCACGACGATGCTGCTGCTGACGATGATGACACCTGCCCCTCATATATTTACAATTTATTTTGAACTTTGCATACATGTTTCCAGCACAAGAGACGGGTCCCAAGGTTACGCTGCTACAAGACTTCAAGGCGAAAATAAAAGGTACATTTTCAAACTCCATATGTTTGATATACGTTGGGTTATACACTTGGCAGAGAGGTTTTCGACAAAACAAGATTACTGTTATTGCGAGCTGCAGTGTTTATTGACAAGTGATGATTCCTATGACCATGTCTTGAATATAAATCACCGAGAAAAAAAATATCGAGAGTGCTTACAAATACAACGAAATGATTTGTATTCGGATCCGGACCTGTTTCGTCACTGCTTAATTTTACGATGGGCCTTACGCCATAACAATGTTTCTATAATCCGGACCTTAAGTATCCGGACGATTTGACTGTGAAAGGAGGTGAAACGAGGCTGCACTGTTTTCCTACATTACAGACAAATTAACTGAAAATGAACGCGTATATTGTCTTTATCAGTCAAATGATTTGTGTTAATGATTCTACTAATGATAATGATAACGACGACGACGAAGACGATCACGACGATGCTGCTGCTGACGATGATGACACCTGCCCCTCATATATTTACAATTTATTTTGAACTTTGCATACATGTTTCCAGCACAAGAGACGGGTCCCAAGGTTACGCTGCTACAAGACTTCAAGGCGAAAATAAAAGGTACATTTTCAAACTCCATATGTTTGATAAACGTAGGGTGATACACTTGGCAGAGAGGTTTTCGACAAAACAAGATTACTGTTATTGCGAGCTGCAGTGTTTATTGACAATTGATGGTTCCTATGACCATGTCTTGAATATAAATCACCGAGAAAAAAAATATCGAGAGTGCTTACAAATACAACGAAATGATTTGTATTCGGATCCGGACCTGTTTCGTCACTGCTTAATTTTACGATGGGCCTTACGCTATAACAATGTTTCTATAATCCGGACCTTAAGTATCCGGACGATTTGACTGTGAAAGGAGGTGAAACGAGGCTGCACTGTTTTCCTACATTACAGACAAGTTAACCGAAAATGAACACGTATATTGTCTTTATCAGTCAAACAATTTGTGTGTAGTGTATGTTTAAATGTGTTGCTCTAGAATTGGTTTCTAGAGTGAGTGAGTGAGTGAGTTAAAATTTAACGTCATATTGACAATATTACAGCCATATCGTGGTATTTAGATCATTGATGATGCATACATTGTGCTTGCATCAGAATGAAACGTTAATTTAGATATCATGTTCGTGAGTTATCAATGCACTTTTATAAGAATTAAAGTCAATTCTGTTTTGTTAATTGTGTCCTAAAACTGATGATTAAATATTGTATTGATTAGTTTCATTACTGATGGCCTAACTGACTGACTAGCAATTGCCTGGTGTACAATATAGCCAAACGCCTCATCGTTACTATTCCTAATTAGAGTCTTGACAAGTGTTTCGAGTGTCAGCTGCAACAAGTAGAGCAGACACCCGGTGTCGTGTTCATTGATCCATTTCATGGCTTGTCCGCCTTTTACGGCCAATGGAATCTGTTTTGACGAATAATTGAGATTGGTTATTCACTGTTGTTTACCTTTGGTATATATTGTGTAGTACAAGTAACGTACATAGAAGTAGTACATGAGGCATCTGGGGTGTCTTGTCCATTGTGGCATGCATTATTAAAAGTATTGAAGATTCATGGTTACAGTTTTGCCTTTCAGAATATGTCACATATTTAGGTATCGAGGAGAGGATTAAGGACACATATAGCTAGGAAATATTTACACAGTGTCTATGGTGTCATACTCAATGCGCTTAATCGATAAACCCCAGTGACATGTTGATGTCAGCAGTGTGTCATCATTGCCAGGCAACGTCGAAACTTCCTTCAACATAAATCATTAACACATCAAGGAAACGTGTGCTTTATTAGATATTGTTGAGTTTACATTACATGTCACAGTCATACTAATGTCATTGAAAAAGCTATCTTTTAACATCCAAAGTCAGGTATTTAAGTGCTTTTGTCCATAATTGTAAAACATAAAGCAATATTTTCCTGATTTATTCAGCTTTTCAAACTGCAGGGTTTTGGAAACCCAACCCGCCTCTGAAGTCCTGCAGCGAGACACCAGGATGTAAGTTAATCATTTCTACTTTTCTGTTGCTGCTGTGTTCCACGTATTCTCTTGCTGTTCAAAATTCATCTTGTCAACGTGACATTTTTTTATGTGGATACATCGTTTTGTTGACGCAAATTGGTTGCTTCGCTCGAATCATTATCGTACTAGCGTCTGATACAGGCACTCCGATTGTCTTGAACTTTGGAAACGCCTTCGGGGTGATGCCAGGTATGGCTAGTTATCTAGGTATGGCTATACTTTCGTATGGCAAGAATACTGCTGCTCGGTGTGATTCAACTAAGAAATACTTACTTCTTGTGTGCAGTTATAACGTTATGTTAAGTGTTTTCTGTTTGTGTGGCGGGTGTAACCAGTTGGCAGAACAAGCATCCCCTTTTAGCTAACACCTGGTGTCATTACTGTCTGTGTGTGATCCATTCATAATATTCCACCACTATTTTGCTTTTTACGCCCAATGCAATCTGTTATGGCAGATAACCGAGACTATGTGATCTCTGGCCTTGGCGTTAATCACTCGGATCTTGCGTCCCTCTAAATTAGGTTCAAACAATGTTTCCCATTTTATTTTTTCTCGTATTGCAGCCACTCCATGCTACGACACAAAGTGCAGCAACAGGACTGCTCAGGGATTTGAGGAAAGATTACAGAGTGTCATGCAGCTTACAGAAACTGTCAATACAACTCTGAGGGATCACATCATGGAGGTGATGAAAGTCCGGCATTCTGGCACGCGGGTTCTTATAGTAACAGGCGCGTCGTCCGATCACTTCCTTGAATCCCAGGGCTTGGTTCAGAGCCTTCACCAGAACGTGTTCCCTGAGCTGGATAACTACACCTTTGTTTACTACGATCTTGGGCTGGATTCAAAGCAGAGAGAACAGGTAAATAAGTAAATTTATCTTTCTTAACACATGTCGGATTCTAATTGTCGGAGACCAATTATACTTTTTTTCAATGTATCTCGCTAAAATGTAAGGTATATTTCTTACGTCCCCCTCTCGTATTGCCGAACTGTTGGCGTTACATTTGAAACATATTAATCGGAATTTAGCATCACGAATAAATGATGTAAGACGCCATTCCCCGCATATTCACGTTGTTTCCGAATAAAAGAGATCTAAGAGTAATAACTCGAAATTTGTATTCTATCATCTGCCATTGGATGAATGTGAAAACGATCGAAGTTGATAAATGCCTAACTGTGGTATTCTTACCGAATCGGAACATAGCATGCATGATGACTAAGATAACTGCAATATAATTAGGTGTTCATTAAGATACATCCGTAGTCCCACTCGGGAACGGTGGACAACTTGTACGATCTCATTCTGAAAACGTAGCCCCATGCGTCCCTAGGGCTTGGATGTTTGACAGAGTCACGGAGAGCTTTCCTCAAAATGTGAGATGACACGACCATCAATAGAAACACTGCTCAAAGGGCTAAAGGTGACATATTCTTTGTTTCTGCAAGACTGAGGACACGGACTGACATCTTTAATTTATGACCAAATAATATCACCAAACCAGACAATGTGTCCGATCACAATTCCACATAATTCATTATAGAATGTCAACGCAAGAGAATATCCAGTCCCGATTATCCGCTTGAAAAGGTTCTAGCTATAGTGCGCGTCAAATGCGAAATATTGGTGACTACTGCAGAAATGGATCACTGAAATCGGTGACCACACGGACAAGCATGGCTTGCCCTACCGGTAGCACTCGTCACTCGCACAATTTGCATAACAGGTGTTTGTTTGTTGCCTGGCCCCTCACAGCAGTACCCCTGGCCTGCCACGGTGGCCTGTAAACAAACAAGACATTCCTGATTTAGAGAGAATGCTCTCGCGTAAAGTAAAATGACGGTTATAAGACATGATTTGTCATCCAACACTGAAATCCAAACTATCTCAGAGACCCATTCTCCGCCTCAAAGTTTCACAATACAATGGATAAAGATAAAATCAGTAATTCATCATTGACAGTCCATCAGAACCTACGGCAAAGGCAGTATCCAAATCTTCCATATGTTCATGTTATCGGGACAATTGAAGGTCCTAGCAAACTTAAAGTCAAGTCTCTTCACTTTTAATATCTGTTATCTCTTACCACATGCAGTTTATCAATATAGCTCTGACGTGATTACTAAGAAAATCTATCCTAGTTTTATACATCCTAGCCATGGAGTGGAATAGAATCCACCACAGATGACAGTAAGCTGGTCTGAGTTTGTGTTCAGCGAGCAGCTTGCACTGCCGAGTATTGGGGGTCCCTTCACGACATATTTTTGTTCAAAAAATTTAAAATACCTTTTTTACAGAAAAGTCACATTATGTGAATACAGATGCAACGGACATTTTTTAGGAACGTCTTGTCCGCCGTGTGTTTAATTCCTAGCAGCCTGAGGGAACTGTCCACATTTTGACGGAAAAAAGCACGGTTCATACGTGCCATAAATTCATGGATACAAATCTACTGGATATGTTGAACAACACATGCGCACATACACCTGCACATCGAATAGAATCATGCGAGACCAATTGTCATGAACAAAGCACATTCCTGTTTTAAGTATGGACACTCAAGACAAATGTATATCCACAGTACATATTGACCTGTCATGACTGTGAATACTACATTGTGTAAACTCTGCTCTCTACATACAGCCCACAGCCTACAGTATTAAATATCATTAACATGCAAAATAATTGTTATTCGTATGTATGATAATTACGATACGGACGCAGAATGATAAAAATTGGTGATAATATATGTCTATCGTATTATGCCATTCTAAAAACAATCGAAGTTTCTAGATTTATTTCCATTCACGAACGCTGAGGTGGTACATATATCTACCCCAGGTACGTTTTTGTATTTACAAATATTCAAACTCGTGTTGTCCGCGGGAATTTCCTTTCTAAATGATCGCGACCTCGCCCTCGATAATATTTACGATGTTTCAACACAAACTAAATTTTGAGATATCAAAGTAAATTTGTTTGTGAGCCCTACAAGCGAAAAAGAGAGACCACATGACATAGAACTGTATACTGACTGTATGATGACTATATACACAACATTCTTGGCTTTACTGGAAAGGAATCGATGCTTAAAAGGCTTAAAGAATAAACAAACTTTATATTTACATTTTGACATAAATATAACTTACATAAATTGACCATCAGTGAACCTGAATCAAGTAATCAAGTAAAAGAAGTAGTCAATAGTGAAATCAATTAGGTCAGTCAGGTAATAGTTGCTTACATAAGTTGACCTTCAGTGAACCTGGATCAAGTAATCAAGTAAAAGTAGTGGTCAACAGTGAAATCAATTAGGTCAGTCAGGTAAATGCTGCTTACATAAGTTAACCTTCAGTGAACCTGAATTAGGTTATCAAGTAAAAGTAGTGGTCAACAGTGAAATCAATTAGGTCAGTCAGGTAAAGCTGCTTACATAAGTTGACCTTCAGTGAACCTGAATCAAGTAATCAAGTAAAAGTAGTGGTCAACAGTGAAATCAATTAGGTCAGTCAGGTAATAGTTGCTTACATAAGTTGACCTTCAGTGAACCTGGATCAAGTAATCAAGTAAAAGTAGTGGTCAACAGTGAAATCAATATGGTCAGTCAGGTAAATGCTGCTTACATAAGTTAACCTTCAGTGACCCTGAATTAGGTTATCAAGTAAAAGTAGTGGTCAACAGTGAAATCAATTAGGTCAGTCAGGTAAAGCTGCTTACATAAGTTGACCTTCAGTGAACCTGAATCAAGTAATCAAGTAAAAGTAGTGGTCAACAGTGAAATCAATTAGGTCAGTCAGGTAATAGTTGCTTACATAAGTTGACCTTCAGTGAACCTGGATCAAGTAATCAAGTTAAAGTAGTGGTCAACAGTGAAATCAATTAGGTCAGTCAGGTAATAGTTGCTTACATAAGTTGACCTTTAGTGAACCTTAATCAAGTAATCAAGTAAAAGTAGTGGTCAACAGTGAAATCAATTAGGTCAGTCAGGTAATAGTTGCTTACATAAGTTGACCTTCAGTGAACCTGGATCAAGTAATCAAGTTAAAGTAGTGGTCAACAGTGAAATCAATTAGGTCAGTCAGGTAATAGTTGCTTACATAAGTTGACCTTCAGTGAACCTTAATCAAGTAATCAAGTAAAAGTAGTGGTCAACAGTGAAATCAATTAGGTCAGTCAGGTAATAGTTGCTTAGATAAGTTGACCTTCAGTGAACCTGAATCAAGTAATCAAGTTAAAGTAGTGGTCAACAGTGAAATCAGTTAGGTCAGGCAGGTAATAGTTGCTTAAATAAGTGATAAGTTATACATTTATGATAACTTTTCCTGGTAACCGTGACAATAAGAATACATCAACGATATTTGGACTTGAATGAGTTCGAGATGAGATATTTTTGCTGTAGACATTGGGACAACCAGATCTCCATATTAGACGCGTCTTGCGACAAACACAATTGTGAAAGCAACGATAATAACGACACATTCATGATCATATTTCAGTTGAAGAAACATTGCCGGTGCGAGGTACGACGGTATCCTGTTGAGAAAATGCCACACATGCACCAAAAACTAAGATGTTACACGTGGAAACCATTCATTATTGAGGTAACATTTTTTATGGTTAAATCCGTACTATGATTAATTGTATCTAGTCGGTGATGCCGATAATGAGTAAGTAAGTGGGTTTGACGCATCTTTGAACAGTATTCCAGTTTAATGTGGGAGGTAAGCCCGAAATAAATGCAGGTTTCAGACGTTTTCCTCTTTGGTGAAACCAACAAGCACGGGTAATGGAAACATGGAAACAAGATCGGGGCGAACCGGTTTTGTGATGTATAACATGATATACTTTGTATTATATTACTTTCAGGCAAACATTCGCTCCACGGACATTTTGATTTGGGCCGATGCATCCGTAAGATTCCAAAAGTCCACAATTGGACCACTCATCAAAGAAGCCAACACGAAAGGCGTCATCATGCCAGTGGACCCTCCACAATATGCAATCTCAGATCACGTACAAAAAATAACATTTGATTATTTCAGTGAACAGACATGTCATTTTGCTCAGGTGGGCGAGATGGCAGCGACTTTTCTAGTTTTTAAGAATGAGCGTTTCATCAGGGAGGCGATACTCAAGCCCTGGATCGCATGTGCATTGGATTCCAGATGCATGTGCCCTTCCGGCCCAGAGAAGCTTATAGTGTGTTATACACACGTCAGAAAATATAACAAATGTCACAGGTTTGACCAAGCAGCTCTGAATGTACTTCTAGCCAAATTGTTCTGGGGCAATGAGCAATCATTTACTCCGTCTAGAAAATACATTAACATACAGAAAGAGGATAAAGTACACTATTTTGATCACTTAGGAATATGATGTTCACTGAAATGCCCTTGCACTTGTTAAGCTTTAAGTTTTTTTCTGAAATTGTGCCTAGAGTGAGTGAGTGAGATTATGCTATACGTCACATCGGCAATATTTGAGCCATATCGTGACGAATGCCTAAAGCAGTAATGGTAGAAGTAACAGTAATAACCTGATGACATTGGTCACACTGGGGTTTAATTAGGAGGTTATTGAAAACAATCACATATTGATAGCCTTGACGTTATACAAGTAAAGTGAAATGTGGTTTAATGTTGCGCTTAAGATTATTGCATTCATGTTGTGACGTGCATGCGCAAAGTGTGTGTGTGTGTGTGTGTGTGTGTGTGTGTGTGTGTTTGTGTGTGTGTGTGTCTTTTGCTATGGCACGGCTAGGGGAACGAATATCGAATCTTCTGCTTTCCTGGCAGATGCTCTATCCACCTCACCACAGAGGTGGTTCAGATCTAATACCGTATTCGACGTAATAAGCGCCCACGGCGATATTTGCTAATATATTGGCTAGTGAACAATCTCAATTAGCACCCCTTCCGATTGATCAATGTACACAAGACGTATTTTTTCGCGTATAATAAGCACTCGTGTGTTATATGCACCTTTAATTATGGGCAATTAAATTCTGGAGAAAATATATCTGTCGTATATAAACGTTTCAGGCTGTCAGCATAAACCACGAAATTTATCCTTTAACTCTGTTTTTTTTCAACCAAATTCCCCCTATTTCTAATCTTGAGAGGGCCCCTGGCGCGTATTACGTCGAATACGGTATATAGATTCGATACTCGTTAAAGAGGAAGTTGGCTGCTCCTTTGCACAGATATTCCCGCTAATGTTTACACATAGCCAGCAATGAATATGAACTCTAATTAAACCCTTTGTCTTTCTAACTCAAGCCTATTGAATGAAATATTATGTTGAAGTCGTCAGACGATGTTTGGAGTTTTAATGAGTTCTATGATTGAAAACTGTATCTGCCTGAAAATCAGACTGAAATATCAGAGCACCGCCAACGTTTAGAACTGGAAAACATTACTTTTTCTTCGTAAACTTCCGGTGGATGTCAATCATACTTACATAAACTTGTAACAGTTTGGTTTTCTTCTGATTGGGTGAGCAAGTGAGTGAATATGTTTTGTACGCCGCCTTTAGCAATATACCATCAAAGTCACGGCGGGGGAACCACTAGGCTTCCCCACCGCCCCAATTTTCCTCTGAAACATTACTAACCGGTTAAAAAGTCCAACTGCACACCACACACAACATGTCAAGGAAAGACATCGTGACTGGTGTGTTAAATCATAAATGAAATCCAAACCATTCATATAAATTCGAAGTTTTATGTTACCTTGTTTCTCACACCACATCATATTCAACAGAGCACCACAGAGCTGTGTTAAATGCTCCGGCTACAACCAAGCCGTTGTGACTGTGTGACAATGAAGGTCATACTGATGTTCTTTTGTAGATATATAATGTACGGGACTGGTGATCCGCAACAATCTGGCAGATGCACACCAGGGCCCATAGCCTCAAACATATATTGAGGACTGTTGCAATGTAGTTCTTCCAATGGTGTTATGGTGAGCTCCGCCAGATACATTATGAGGCAACATGCAGACACTATCCCTTCAGTAGACATATTTATACATGGATAGTTCTTTTGTACTCTGTTGTAATACCTTTTCAGTATTTGGTACGTATTTAGTACACAATTCGCCTGGTTAAATACTTGACTGTAGACAAATTGCCTTCGACTACACACACGTATGGATATGTGAAATGCATATTTAGCTTGACACTGAAATATTTGTGAGGGTAGACTATTCTATTGATGCGTTTTGACAACAAAATATATACAGCCCATAAACAATAAGGGAAATAAAGAGTTGAATGTAGCTATCGTTGACTTGTATTTTTACATACCGTGTAATTTCTCGACTGTGGGACAAGTACCGTCAAACGGGTGGGGTTGCAATGAGACCTGGTTGTGGCAGGCCCAACGAAACGACACAAAGACAAGATCGTCTGATTACATTAATTGCACTACGAAGTAAATTCAAATCTGCTCCTGTTATCAGTAGAAGGCACATTTCAACATTTATGCAGTCCGTTTTAATGCAATGCGTCCTATGACGGATGTGACGCAATGGGCAGTTGCACAGATTGGGTGCAGCAAATATATAATATCTTGTCCATAAACATGACATTGGACACTGGCTTATTTTTAGATACTATGTTAGCCATAAGGGTTTATTTTAGAAAACACAATCCTCACAGTCAGAAAATGTCTGTGTTTGCCATATTTCTGAAAATTTGCCTTTTCACATCACCTTACTGTTTTTTTGCTTTACATGAACCTTATTTGAGTGATCACTAATATAATATCCCGTGAGTTATGCGGGCTTTGGATTTGACGCCAATTTTACCTATATGTCGGTCATACTACTATCAAGACAGGACACCGGATATACTCTTCAAAAAGCTCACCCATTTCCGGAATTGAACGTGTGTCTTCAGTGTGAGTAGCCCGCTAGGCTTACCAAACCACCCTCACATGATGTAGACACCACCTGCGTATATTTTGTAACCTCGACATGAATTGTCTCCTGTGTGCATCGTGTTTTCCTTGCGATGTACCTTCCACAGTAAATGTATTTAGACAAGGCTCATTGTGACGGCATACCTTCACCTCACCTCACCTCACCTCACCTCACCTCACCTCACCTCACCTCACCTCACCACACCACAGACCCTCAACCCTTGACAGTCCATTGGTGCAACAATCGGCAAACAACTAGACCCAAACAAAAGATCAACCTCCAAAATAGTGAGTGTAGTCTCACTCGAAGGCTAGGGTTAGATCCCCACATGGGCACAATGTGTGAAGCCCATTTCTGATGTCCCCTGCCGTGATATTGCTGTAATATTGCTAAAATCAGCGAAAAACCACACTTACTCACTCACTCCAGTACACTGATTGGTCATATTATGAATTTTTAGGGGCGGTGGGGTAGCCTGGTGGCTAAAGCGTTCGCTCGTCACGCCGAAGACCCGGTTTCGATTTCCCACATCAGTACAATGTGTTAACCTCATTTCTGGTGTCCCCTGCCGTGATATTGCGGGAATATTGATGAAAGCGGCGTAAAACTCACTCACTCACTTTTGTGAATCTTGGCCACTGAAATATGAATTGTCAATGCAAGAGAACAACCAGTCTAGGTTATCCGCCGAAACATAAAAAATTAGCGTTAAGGTCAAAATATCTGTTAAAATTTTATGAATGGACCACTGAAATTCATTAACACAGACATGTGCCAGTTATATTTGGAATGAACTGCGTGTGAAATGTATTATTACAGCTTAAACGAAAATTATGAACGTAATAAATCTTAGTGTGAAGGTTATTGTCAAAGTGGAACAATGAAAGTACAAACTAAATATTCTTGCCTCCAATTTTTTAAATGTCAATGAATCATGTAACGTGCTTCAATTTGCCTTCTGCATTGACAGTTAGTCTGTTCTGTGCAACGATATTCAAAGACAACACACGAAGTCCAGTATTGCTAATGGTAGCGGACGGTATATGTCTTATTACCTCTACACTAAGCTAGTATACAAACTGAATGTGTTATGGGAATGTAGGATTTTCAGGAGTATTGTGCTCCTGTCTACGTTTTTAAAGATGTTAATTGGCTAGTTCGAACATAACATTAGATATCAAGTTCAACCTGCAGCAGGGAGAGACATGTGAAATGAATAAGAAATATTTGCATTATATAAGGTCGGGATTATTATCAGCTATTGGTAGGGGAAGGGATATATAGTATACCCCATTACCTCTACAGTGAGTGAGTGAGTATGGTTTTACGCCGCTTTTAGCAATATTCCAGCAATATCATGGCGGGCGAACACCAGAAATGGGCTTCACCCATTGTACCCATGTGGGGAATCGAACCCAGGTCTTCGGTGTGACGAGCGAACGCTTTAACCTCTAGACTACCCCACCGCCCCACCCGTACCTCTACAGTGCGGGTATAGTAACGCTGTATGCGAGAAGCGCATGTCTGGTTATTTGGTTACATCAGTCACGTCATCTTGACACCGCACGTATTGTTTACACTTGTTGTGTTCGCGTCTACGTTTTTGTAAGCCCGATTCTCAACTATTTCTGTTTTTTGTTGGCTTGAATGGTTTTGATTGCATTGTTTTACTATGCATAGCTGCCTTTATTGTGAAGTCGTCTTGTCACATGCTCAAGCAATGTAACTCTACCTTCACAAGGGGGTCCGTATTGAAATGTAGATAAAGGGAACAGTTTCATGATTGTCCAATGGGTGTTTTGTTTCTATGTAGCATAGGACAAAAAGGGCAATAAGTGTCTTTCTGGAATATAGAGTTCTGTATTCATCACACGATCACAGGATGGTAAATACATGTATAGCATGGCGCCACACAACACTACTCCTTTCATTCGACGATTGCCTGTTGACGAACCAGACAATCAAGTGGACAATGAACCGGAAAAGCCAGTGACACGTTAACATATCCACTGACTCCTTTCAAAGCGATGAAAAAGATATGTTAATTTAGACTTTCGTCTGCTGTGAACACATGCAGAGATGTTGGTGCTTTTAGGTAATATGAACTCTATTTATCTATCATCGTCAGTTTGTTCCTATCCCATTAGCCTCATCAATCAAATACTAGTATCCAATGATATTTACAATCACGTTGTCGCCCATAGAGACTACAGCAGGTTTGTGACAAGTAAAATCTGAACTGACGACCTTGTAAAAGAACATAGGAAACCCGGAACGGATATCAAATTTTAATCATTAAATTTTCGTTGTGTTCGTTGAAATTCCTGCATTCTAATCAGCTGAATTGGTCATGTGATATTGCATTCATTTCCCAATGAATGTAAAAAATTAAGCCACGCCCACCGAGGCGCACTACTTTTATTACTGCGGAATGTCGGGGAATCTCAATATTACAGTCGAGGGAATTCCCTTTCTGCTCACGTGTATCGTCATGCACAGGACATTCAGCGACATTCATCAATATTCATTGTCCAAACTACCCTTTGAAGACCGCCTCCGTGGTCTAGTGGTAGAGCGTCCGCCCGGAGAACGGAAGGTCCGGGGTTCGATCCCCGGCCGCGTCATACCAAAAGACGTTAAAAGTTGGTACTTGTTGTTACCCTGTCTGGCGCTCGGCATAAAGGGGCTAAAACAAGGACTGGTCGGCTCGGAGTCAGTATACTGTGTCTGAGTGGGGTATTCATGTTAAACTGCGGCATGGTATCTCAGTGGGCTAGCACTATAAATCGGCATCAGTCCGGACTAGTACAAGCAGCCACACAAACACACACACGTACATGCACGTCGCTATATAAGTGCAATAATCTTGGACGCGACGTTAAACCCCATTTCACCTCACCTCACCTACCCTTTGAAACTGAAGGCCGAGAATGAATGAAACAGCAAACGTGCAGGCTCGATCGCCTGTTTTTTTTCTCGTTCGCCTCGGTTTACCTCGGCCATTTCTAAAAGCATTTTTCCAACTGTGTTTTCCCGTTTTCAGGGAAGTAATGTTTGAATCTGGCGGTAATTGACCATGTCATTTGAAACAGCCGCCTTCTCCCGGACATATTTCCTCCGGTTCGTTACTGTCTGACTGTTGCAGTTCTTCTCGCCTCTTGCCTTAATTGACAAGTCCTATGAGCATTGTTTTGATCCTATGCTCCGTTGATTGGCTAATGACTGTGTAGTCGTGCCAAGTTATGTGCATAAATTAAACGATCAACTGATTCATGCCACGCCACTGTATGTATTCATACACGTGGAATGTTAATCAATCTCATCATTATTGTCTGCTTTGATATATACAACTGTTTTGGGTTACACTATTGCAGATAAAACATGTTTTACGTTGTCAAATTCAATTATAAGCATTGACTGTGTATTGTTTTCGCTTCATTGAGGTATGAATCGAAAAACCGATGTGTAAACTGTATAAATCCGCGTACCTCAATGAACCGAAAAAAAATACACAGTCAATGCTCATAAATAAACTTTACCCATCATTCCTTCTTATTTTTTCGGGCAGTATAGCAGGTATTATGTTGACTGAGAAGATACAACCTAATGGACCTATTTTACAATTACATGTTGTCGCCTTATGTTTTGGCAGTCACCCATTAATCTATTCAACTTTCGGATGAGACAGAAATGTATATTTCTACTTTTTCGTCTGCAAGGAACTGAAAAATGTCTACATTGTTTGATTGACATGGAGACGGTTACTGTTGCCATGGCTCCCCGTAGAGCCTCTTCACGTTCTCATCCAGACTGATTTGGTCTGTCTTCATATCTTCCGAATGCATCTATCACACTGCCCTTTGTCCTGACTGTAGACACTTTCTGGTCATGGTCTGTGGCATCCGTCACAGAGTGCTTATGCAGGTGGACCTGACTAGATTGTAAGTTGTGCATGTCAGGTTGATTGGTATGTTAAACCTTCTGGAGTTATCTCCCTTGTACCAAAGCAGATGTTTTGAGTGAGACATAGTAAAGGGTATTTGATGGAGACCTGTCGGAGTCATTGATGCATCATGACCCTCATGATCCTTCTTCGAGCCCCACTCACAAATGGTTTGCCTGGTGAGGTACATTTGTACTTCCCACGCAAGGTACAAGTGTCAAATCTACCTGGGAGCTCGAGGGAGAACTGGTCAAGCTGCGCGACTTGGTTTCTCATTCTGTTTACTCAAGCCCTCTGAGAGGCGGAGCTTTGTTTTGGTTATAGCGCTGGGCTTTGCGAGACATTGCATTACAACCTGTATAAGATCCGCGAGTTATCTGTTAGCGTGACGTCATGAAGGCTTTATCCGACGCGGTTTAAATGAGTAGGTTCCCACCAATAATTGGGTTAATTTGATGTTAAATATCCATTTTTTTCTTCATCCCCTAATGATTCTAGAACCATATGGTTGAACTGTATGTGAATTATTACAACACTAACATATACATAGAAAACTACACAAAGGAGCATACTGGTATTCCTTGTGACCTCACTATTCTTGGCATATGTATGTTCATGTTCTACATTTCTACCTTGCACAGTGTTCCTTGATTGTTTTCCTGTTTTGACACATACAGCGATGCCAAAAACGAGAATTATCAGAATGAGTGGGACAACGTCCTCTGAAATAATAATGGGTGTTTGATTCATCCGCTCGTTCCATTGCCACTTGTGTCTGCTTTTCCATTGACATTGACTGAAGTGTATGATAAGGCGTCACAATTGGGGTGATTCGAGCCGCGATGTCTTTGAATCACACTCAATCCCCACAGGTAGATAATGGACGATGCGAATGTGTTAATGATGACGCTGGCTCAAAACAGAGGGGCCAAATGAATCAAATTCCAACAAAGAAACTGTACCCGGAATTGATGTTGCAGGGTATGCCCATATTGCTGGCGACATGTCCAGGTTAGGTTCAGTTGACACAAGGAATGGACCAAAAGGAGAATCGATGTCTTCTGATCACAAACATGCCACACAGGTAGACGACGGATGTTATGCATGTATTAAGGATGACACTGGCTCACAAAAGAGGGGCCAAAATGAATCAAATTCCCATAATGAAATCGTACCCAGAATAGATGCGGCAGGGTAACCTTATATCGGGGGTGTTAGGAACAGGTCAGGTTCAATGGATAAAGGATGGATCTTAACAGAATATCATTGCACTTTATGCCAGTGTGAATAAGAATGGAAAGAGGCAGACGGTGAGTGTGGCAAGATAGACAGTATGTTATAACCATGTCATGTATGGAATATACTGTACACACAATCTGTACACATTTTATACAAAAACAGAAATGCCACATATTGATATTCCTTGTAATTGTCTAACTTGTGTGCATTATGTTGTTTCTTTGTTGTTTAACGCCAAATTCAGCAATATTCCAGCTACACGTATATGTCCCCTGATGGCGGAACCCTGGGGAACCCTATCCTAATTATTGTTCAATTGTCATTACCAAACACCCTAGCACCTCATAACCCAGGGTAACCATCAATGAGCAACTCCCCTCCCTGCCTCTGTCTGTAAGCTGTCGAATACCACCCGGCAAGCCGGTAAATAAAGTATTAATAATTGTGATAACTATATTTTCAAATTATGTCAGGGGGCACGGGTGGCCCAGTCGTCTAAGGCGCCGCGATTCGCTGTGCAGAGTTGCGTCCCTTGGGCACGCCAGAAACCTATGATTGTGGGTTCGAATCCCGGTTCGCCCCGATTATGTTTCTAGGTTTGTCAGCACCATACCCGTGCTCGTGGGTTTTACCGAAGAGGTAAACGTCTGAGACCTGCATCACTTCGGGCTTTCCTCCCACATTAAGCTGACACGCCGCGATATAACTGGAATACTGTTAAAAGCGGCGTTAAACCCAACTCACTCACTCACTTAAATTATGTCAGGCCCAACAGACATTGCGTCAAACTGAGCACTCCATACATGCACACATCCTGGTGGGAATATTAAATATCTCCCGCTGTCCGCCCATATCTCCCAGCGATAATTTTACTTTCCTATGTTTAACAGCTGCAAACACGGACATTCTTTCAGGCTTCTATTGTGCCCAAACCTTTTATTGGTGGTTATGTATTGACCAGGGTTGAATGGATTGATATGACAACTGCACGAAAGCAATGAACAGATCACAAACATTTGACAGGAAAACTATATAAAAAACAAGTACAAATGAACAGATGAGTGGGTATTTCGAAACACTGAGCTTACATTCAGACAAGATTAGCTGCAACATTTATGTTATTAGACGTACAGGTGTCACAAGCTGTCGTGTGACGAGTGCTGGTGCCGGGGTCAAGTTGAAAGCTATCAACAAGTATAAAACGCATCCTAAGTACAATCATATGAAATCTATCAAATGCTAGTGGTAAATGTAAAGCTAATTTCAATGGAACGATGAACACATTAATTATTGCAATTACACATCTTTGAAGCAAGTAATAACCATACATCATAATGTATTTTATAACTGTAGACGTAGATTTAGATCGTAAGGTATATCGTCTGTGTTCTACATCTTTGAGACACATAGTCCTTTTGAAAGTTGCTAATGCGTTACATTTCGTAACTTAAACGGCAAAGGTGAGACCAGTACAAGCATCCAACTTTATTCATCAACAGCACGTTTGCCTTTACTCACATTTCGTTACTGGTGGACGTATCTCGACAGAACTCCAGATTAACGCTTCCAAAAGTATACTCATGTCGGGACTCGAACATATATATTCACAGTTTGACACTTAACCCGCTAGCTTACCAAACGCATTATGTTTCGTTCGTTTGTTTGTTTAATTTGTTTGTTGTTGAACGCCGCACTCCGCAATATCTTAGCTATGTGAGGCGGTCTGTAAATAATCGACTCTGGGCCAGACAATCGAGTGATTGACATCATGAGCATCGATCCACGCAACTGGGACACGATCAACCAAATCAGCGAGGCCGACTACCCTATCCCGTTACTCGCCTATAATTCTACCCCACTTACATGACTTAGGCACCACCTGCGTGCTATGGTGTAACCTCGACATGCCAATGACCTCGACATGAATTGCCGTTTCGGATGTATCTTGAATTGCCGTTTCGGATGCATCTCGAATTGCCGTTTCGGATATCTTCCACAGTAAATGTATTTAAACAAGCTCGACTGGCATACCTTCACCTCATCTCACCACACACCCTCAACTCTTAACGCTCCACTGGCGCAAACGTCGGTAAACAACCAGAACAGAAGGAAAGAGTTGTTCTTTAGACATTTCATGATAACACAAGACCTATTTAGGAGCTTTGATTTAGAATGGATTGGACTCAACCAATAGAGAGAAAAGACTGCACGTCATTCAAGTTCTCGATGTTTTCCACCTTATCGCCTGTGTCCATTGTCAATACACTATCGTGCCCAATGTAATGTGTTATTGAACTGATTCAATGTATTTTTCATAAATACGGTCAACATTGATATCGTTTTGAATACTAATACATGCAAACACAAAAGGTTTAAATATACATCACACGTCAGAGAGTCACACGAGGAAATATGTGCATATGATTCATTGTGATTCAAATTATCCTTCCCTAAAGGCCCGTTCTCGAGAAATTGTTCATTTGGCCATTACATTAATGTTCGGTAGTATTCACTACTTGTCGTTATTTCCAGCAAATGTACCACGAAAACTTTGATTCTTAAGATTGAGCATATTCCTTCAAGTCCAATTCTGTACAAGCATTTGATTTCTCTACTTTTTTTATACGTTATCCCACATTTCAAATTAACAGAAAACCCTAATTACCTCACCCATTGGCATTGGTCCCGTGGTGACCACAGATAAAGTTACATCTTTCAAGACAATTTGTTGAAAATGAAGCAAATATTTAATTATGTTTACTAGAAAACAAAATGTGAAATGCTGGACCTACATCCAGAATAGTAGATGGTAGACATGTGGGTGAAATTTTCAAATGTGATGCATCAGTGGCACAAAGTTATGTCTGATGCATTTCTTTACTTCAGACGGAGATGTAAAATGGACTCTTACAAATTTCTTATGAAAATTGTTAGGCTTTTCGTTGTACATTTTAGCTAACCTTCTGCCAATTGATGGTGGGTCTAATGGGTCTCATTTCTTCTCGGAATGGTCGGATGGATGGACATGTATAGTTCCATTTGATATAAGGGTATCGATTAAAGCGTTTCCCGAATGCAAAGAACTTGTGAAAAACATTGTGAAAAAGTGAAATATGTTATGATGGACATTACATGATGTGTAACAAGCAGCGTTCAACGTGCAGGACTGTGACAGTGAAAACATTCTGGGCATTCGTAATAGGTGTTGTGTTTGATAATATCTATACTGCTGCATGTAGGATTAGGTGTGCATTTCTCCACACAGGTAAAATGTGCAATGTGCAATGAGAATGCTATTATCAACGTGTTCCTGTGTTTTCATGGAAAGATCCCATGTGAATTCAACCGTGAACACTAAAACTACATTGATACATACATTATCTATTATGCAGGTCCGTCAATGCATCCTGTGAGAGGTCGGTGTTGGTGTCGATTATTAATAGAACTCCGTCAGGACAAAGTTGGAAATTACGCCATTAAGATCAATACAATGTTATACAACCATGCGAGGTACAAAAGAGTATCACGACCTGAATAAGTGATAATATTAATTCCGTCTCATGTATTATGGCTGGGTATATAGTCAGCTTGTGGCAGCTACTGTAACGACAGTAGGAATACCAGTTAGAGTTTGTATATTCACTGGTGGGCAGGAAAGAAAATATTATTTAACAAAAGAAACCGTGTTTACGTTTAGATCCTGACCCTGATCATTTTCATATAAATTGCCGACGCAAGATCAGGGTAGTGTCGCCCATGGCCTGATTGTTCAGTGAATGTACATTTGAGACTCGCTGTTACATTACAAATAGTTATAGAATGTATTTTCTAAAGCGTCTGTTGTCAAATACATGAATAGCTTCTAACATTCCATCATTGTGAAGACTGTCAGTCAGATCGAGACGCACTGTCCTGTTCGAGTTTACTTTTGTGAATGTGGTAAGGCTTATTTTGTTTGAGCTATAATTTTTATCATGATTTTCTCACCATCTTCTTACTGGTAAATGTTAGCAAGTATCTGTAGTTGATGTCCTCATTTGGGACAGTGGTAGAACATTCCATTCATTCAAATTCAGGCGAAATGATTGATTGGTGGAATATAGATTGAATTTGCCTTTACGAATAAAACACGGACGGGCTAACCATTTAAAAATATCATTTCTTAATCAACAACAATTACGATGATAAACTGAGATAATAGTTTATGCTACAGTCAACAGTCTTCAAGGTCAGACCATAGTTGAATCGAAATCTGTCAAACAGTGGTTGTTCTTAATGATATTGGACCCCTTGTTAGGCATTGTTATGATAGGAAGGCCCGACTTCCTGTTAGTGTTGTTATTGAAATAATAGAAGCTTAATAGGAAGGACCAAACGACCAAGCAGTTGAACACAATGTTCAATAATCGAACCCAAACTGTTTTGCCTGTTTTGATTCTCTCTCAACTGTTCTACTTTATTTTATGAATATTAATTCTCAACGTACTAGGGCTTAGTACTTGGAGAAAATATGTGAGAACGAGTGAAACCAGGGTCTTGTTTGAAATGTTTCGTGAAAGTCAGTATATGTGTTTGTGTTAGTTAGGTGTAATCAAATGATGATAATCAAGGAATGATCGGTTGAAACTGTAACCAGTCCGTACAACACAGTCGTATCCTTCACATTACTGTTATAAATAATGAACTAATTATGTACGTATGTATATATGAGCGCAGTGGTGTTTCGTCACAATGTTTCAGTAAGGCTATAAACGTAGAGTGTGCACTTTGGCATACGGAAAAGTGTGGACACACAGTTTAACGTACGCTTGTTTTTTTCCAGATGCACGTAGTTTCACACACAAGTGGAAGTACATGATGTTTTCCTGACTTTAATGTATATGATCAGTTATATTTAAAAAGATGGTTCTGAACAGAGACATATATAAACTTCATACTGTGTAAGGGGGTGGGGGAGATTGGAACTCAGTATCAGTTTCGGTAAACATGTGGCACTAATCTATTATCGATATTGTTTTCCTTTTCAGTCCTTTTTATTGAAAATCACGTCGAGACAGGATCAACATGAGTGAATGAGTGAGTATGACGCTTTTAGCAATATTCCAGCAATATCACAGCGGGGCACACCAGAAATGGGCTTCACACATTGTACCCATGTCGGGAATCGAACCCGGGTCTTCGGCGTGACGAGCGAACGCTTTAACCACTAGGCTACCCAACCGACCCTGATCAACATGACGTAAACAGATATACTTTGTGATGTCATTGATTAATTTTATGATGTTACTAAATAATTCGTCAACATTGTACATAATACCAAGCACTGTTTTGTCTGGTGCAGTGCGGCTGCAAACAAACAAGATGCTATAAATCTTGAGGTTTGAAAAAGTTTGACTTTCTTTTCTTAAACCACATGAAAAGGAAAACAGTTATATTTCAACTCATTATCTTGCTTACCTTGACCCATATGCATAACCAAGATTACCCTCATTCTACAGATGGAGTTCACTGGAAGAAGAAACAGTCTCGGAGTACGCATCCTCCTTGGTATACTTTTGAATCAAGTTTCGAAAAGTACGTAGAAAAGAAAAACAATTATATTTCGACTCATTGCATCAAATACCTGTTCGGAATAAACATTGTTTTGTGTGATAGGTAGTTTACGTGCAGTAAGCGATATTCCAGCTATAGCACGGCGACCTGTGTACAATCATTGTTGTCATGGGCAAGTCTAACGCTGTCGGGGTAAGATCACACACAATCAGCAAGGTCGCCGATATTCCCCCAAGGTCGCCCCTTTCAACAGAATGACTCTTAATGTTAATGTTCCAGGTGCTACAGAGCTTGTGTGTCCACAGATAGGATTTTTGGACTCGCCGGTAAACCTGAGCTGTATTGGCAATGGAAGTACACACTCCTACATCCAGCCATCAGGGGGCGTTGTGACCTTATGTAACATGACCACTGCCAAATGCCTACCTGAGGCGATGGTGACTGTACCGAACTCTTCCTAGGGTAAACCAGTCACACGCAGGAAACTGGACTTTCTCAATTGGGGATTCTGTGTCAAGTTGTCTAATGGCAGTTGCAAGTAAGTATGTTTTGGATAAACAAAAATGTTGAATGTCAGTCTCCGACTTTGCAATATTGTTTTGAACTTGATCCACAACTTTATAAATCATCTAGCTTTAGCTGCGGAAAGATTTAATTATATATCGCGTATCTAATGACGAAACGTACCTTTGGAAACGTTTCTGATAATTATCAAGGATATATCATACTCGACATAATAAGCGCCCAGGGCGCTCTCAAAGTATGAAATAGGGGGCTCTTATTAAAATATTATTTTGGTGAAAAACAACAGGGTTGAAAGATCGTAATATCTTTGGTTTATGCTGACAGCCTGAAATGTTTAAATACGACAGATATATATTTTCCTGAATCTAATTTCCTATAATTAAGGATACATATAACACACGTATTATACACGAATAAATAAGTCTTGTGTACATTGATCAATCGGAAGGGGTGCTAATTGGGATTGTTCATTAGCCAATACATTAGCAAATATCGACGTGGGCGCTTATTACGTCGAATACGGTAATGACTGTTAAAATATATATATTGCAAATGGAAATGATAGTATTGCAAAGCTGGAAAGAAAATGGCGCTCACGGTTTTCACCAGCGCACAGACACAAAACCTCTATGTGAACTAAAAATAGAAACTGTTGCAGGGAAATGAAAAACGAAAAGAAAAACAAGATGTTACTGTTGCTTGAACATGACACCGTTAGTGAAAGTGAAACATTTTGGGTTGTACAATACTTTGCATGGCAGCGTATAATCTAGACAAAATATTTCTGAATTATTGGTATGACATGGTATCATGTATTTTAGGAATGTACATGTATACATATACATGTATGTATGTATGTAAACGGCAGTTGTTTTGTGTGTGTGTTTTGGGACAAAATAATACTCTTGTTGAATGATGTATTTCAGAACTTCCGTCTTGTACTATTTTGAGTAAACGGACTGCAGAGGAAGTGACAATACGTGTACAAGACTACCATTGTCCTGATTCCATTAAACTTTATATGGACACTGGAAATTTGACAAGAAGACTATTGAATACATCATCTACTAGCATTACTGGCGGCATGTTTGAAACCACAGTCAATGAAACAACATCGTTTGAACAGACAAAGAAGTTGGTCTATGTCTGTGGAGACAAGAGTTCGGAAATTGCTTGCGAAGGTACTAAGCATGCATTCATGCATGTACAATACATTGGGTTGAGGATGATGAGTGCATGGGTGATGTAAAGACACATTAACGTTATAATACCTTTTTCAACAAATTCATCGAACAAAATTTGTTTTGTTTGTAATTATACTCACTGAGAGAGAAGTAAACGCACCAGTCTCTTTGGATGACGACGGTGTTCGCAATGCCAATTCTCGTCTCTAGATATATAAAAATCCGGTTATCACTGGCTTGGTTTGTCCTTTTTTCACAATCAAGCTGACACGCCATGACATAACTGAAATAAGCCTAATTTACTATGTCACTTTTATTATAGTTAGTAGTTACCACAAGTAAGGCGATCTTGTATACCATCACACACATGTAAGGGTTGAAACCTACATCGTATCGATCAGACAAACATCATCCCAAATGTAATTATCTCGGTCAATTGAAGCATTCGGTGCACCACAATTTCTTTCTTTAAATTCAATTTAGAACGAAAATCAGATATGAGTATTTAAGGTTGTCCATGTTGCTAATAACGATATAGTGTTCACGTGTATCTGTGGCTTCCTATGTGTTTTTTCTCAGTGTCTTATTTTTTCTTTATCTTGTAGTAATAGTCAATGTAAAATAGAAATATGCTTCACTACAGTAACAAGGGGGAAGGCATGAAAGTATGTTGACTTGTAGACATGTACAAAATATCAACTGAAATTCAAAAGCATGTGATTTATTAATATATAACAGAGTCCAGTGTTTTAACGATCACCGCATATGTGTCAACAGAGCCCCACATTTCAAAAGAAAATGATAGATCGGCGACTGGTCGATTTCTTAATAAGTATTGAATTATACTGAAAATAAATATTTCTTTATAGATAGAGCACCACCGATACAGAAGGTCCCCAATAGTAATATCGTCATCCCAGTAGTTGTGCAAGTTGTGTTCCTTATCGTCATATACGTCATCGCCATCATCATCTTCATCCTCCGAAAAAGGAAGAACAAGAATCAAAAGGCTAAAAATCCCGACCCGCAACTACCTTTGTATTATGCCGACGCCTGTGTGCACTATGCAACTGTTGATGACTTGAGTGTCCCAGAAACAAAGACAATGAAACAGGTCTTAAATTTAGAAATGGTCGGGGGGGTATATTCACTTGTTGCTGACAGACGTGCTGCCGACAAAGGCACACAGGGAGATGACACAGCTACAACCCAAGACACAGGCTACTCTGAAACTGTTGAGGACCAACAAGTGCAACAACACCTAGGGTAATGCAGGGAGACCTCCCTCTCCAAATTGATGCTGCAGGATATTCAACTGTTGCTGACAGACAAGCTGCAGAAACTAGAGAGAAGACACAGCTAAACCTTTGGACACGGGCTACTCGGAAACTGTTGAGGACCAAAATGGAGCCGAACCTAGTATAAGACAAGGAGACATATATGCAACTGTTAACAGGAAGAAAGTCACGCATCTACCACCAGCATAGTGCAAACCTTACATGACAACCGGGTGGAATCGTATTAGAATTTAGAATTTGAAGATTTTGATTACTTGGTGTCATTATCAGGAACTCAATTTAACTGTTATTGGTATGTGTAAGCAATGCATAAATGCCATTGCTCGAAAAAGCAATGATACTGTTTGTATAATATTTGCTGGACGTGATAATATGTGTAATGCAAATATTATTACATCTATCTCTTTTTTTATCTTAACCCTAATAGCTTTGTTTTGTTAATCTATATCATAGTATCTCGCATTTGTACTTTATTTTATCTTCCAGCAGTGGAATTGTGTCCTGACAATATGTAAAATGTATACAATTCAAAACATGACAAGTGATTGTATTATACTTATATAGCATATAAATAATCAACAGATGACAATCGATTGTTTATTTGCACACATCATTCTCATTGATCCAGGTTCTATTTGGTGCACATGGAACAGTAGATTTTCAAGATGAAGGTCATTGGTGCTCAATATCTTGTATGTCCACCATTAGAGTTCAAACCCGACTGGTATCGTCGTCCCATGGAAGCAATAGGATTCCGATTTGTGGCCTGGGAGATGTTCACACACTCTTCTGGAGAGCTGTGTGGTTGTTGTTGACGTGTTTGCAGTGATTGATTCCGTGCATCACATAAATGTTCGATTGTGTCTAAATCTGGAGACCTGGATTGCCATGGTTGTTGTGAGTCTTGCCTTGTAAAGTCGGGCGTTGTTGGAAAATGACGTTCGTTTGCACCAAGTCTCTTCTACCAGTGTTGGAGATGACAGCCCACATCGTCACACTGCCACCACTAATATGTGTGCAGGTTCGGGCATAACTTTCCTTGCGCCGTCACCCATCGGCACGTTATCATTGGATCCAAAAACACTATCTTCACGATTGCCTGATAACAGTTCCATATTCACAGCAGAAGCAAACGTCATTTTAACAGCACTAAAATGTATCAATAACCAATCTGAACAAAAACAATTTATTCTTTATCACTTTCATGCCTCCAGGATATTAAAAATATGTCATGTAAACATCAATTTTTAATCCAAATTGTTGAATTATTAAATGATATCGCAACTGGCCAATATGACATAGTCTTTTGTTGGTTACCCAGCCACGTTGGTATCATAGGTAACACAATGGCCGATGCTGCTACAAAAGCAGCTTTAAACAAATCTGTGACACCACTTCTTATCTCATACATTGATTATAAACCTGAAATTAGATGTTACATCCGAGATCTTATGCAAAGGAGGTGGAACACCCAAGTAGGTATAAATAAATTACGTGAAATGAAACCAAATATCGGCTACACCTACGTGGGGTGTTTGGGCATGGCTGGGCCATATTTGAAGAGGTCATTTTACGACGATGTCATATTGTCCATTCGAGATATACCCATGAATATTTATTAAAAAGGTGAGGATCCACTATTTTGTATCCCTTGTGATGAAAGAATCACAGTCAAGCATGGCCTGCTTGACTGTATTGATATTTCCATTATTAAATATTGTAGACTCATTTCTCTTCAGATGTAATCTGATATTATCATGAGAAAATATGATGACATGACTGGAAAGGAGAGATAACAAAATTGAATGGTTTGAACTGTGCAAAGATACAATAATGCTCTGATTGTGGCAAGCTGTACTCAATAAGTATTATTACATTTGGATGATTAGGGTACAGGTAAACACACACATACATACATACACACATACATACATACGTACATATCCAATGCAAACTACATCGAATTGATGTCAGTCATTGGCCATATAATGATTACATAATGTTTGAATTTCAGATTTTGCACCTTGTAATCCCGAATTTAAATCATACCCTGTCAGTATAAAGGATATTTGTAGGTTGTCAAATGTGCACAGGAAACTCCATACACATATTCACAGTCAAAATGTGACGCACACAAGGAAATATATTATCTGCTGATACGATTGTCAAACTGGGGTCAATAAAGTTTGAACTACCTGTGTATAATTCAAACAACAATAAAAAATAGAAGCATTGACAAATGTCAATGAACCATGCATTCGTTCCAATCACCCTGGTAATAACAAAACAATGCAAGGTAGGACTTGTATAATGGAAGAATGGATGCAGTATAGTTGAGGAACACAACATACACCAGATGGAACATATATACCTGTGTGTTGGAAGGGGTGGTAACGGTGAACACGGAACGGTTATGTTTGAGAGGTAGAACCTGATTCCAAATAAATCCTAGGCTGTGTTTATTGTTATATACATTAACCCCCTACACACACACACACACACACCCTCCGCTCTCTCTCTCTCTCTCTCTCTCTCTCTCTCTCTCTCTCTCTCTCTCTCTCTCTCTCTCTCTCTCTCTCTCTCTCTCTCTCTCAAACGACGATATTAAGTATTTGTAAGCAGGATGACATTTGTGGCCAGTTAAAATCATTCCTGTTCACTGTCATCTACCTAGAAGGGCATTGTATGTGTATACATACAGAAACATACACACAGACATACACACACACACATACACTAAACACATACATAAACCTACACTCACGCAGACACACAGAAACACAAATATACTCACACACACACATACACTAACACACATACGCAAACATACACACAGACACACATACACCAACAAACATGCATAAACATACATTGGGAATCTGGTTTTCCTTGTGAAAAACCTTCCACACTAAATGTATTTAGATAAGCTCGATTGTGACGGCATACCTTCACCTCATCTCACCACACACCTCAATCCTAACGCTCCACTGGCGCAGCCGTCGGCAAACAACTAGGACAGGGTGTTGTTCTATATACAGTTTATGATAATAGCAAACTTATTTAGGAGCTTTGATCTAGAATGGATTGGACTCAACCAACTGAGAGAAAACGCTTCACGTCATTCAAGCTCTTGGTGCTTTTCACCTTATCGTCTGTGCCCGTTGTCCATACATTATGGTACCCAATGTAATGTGTTATTGAACTGATTTAATGCATTTTTCATAAATACGTTCCACATTGATATCGTTTTGAATACTCATACATGCAAACACAAAAGGTTTAAATATACACCACCGTCAGAGAGTCACATGAGGAAATATGTGCATATGATTCATTGTGATTCACGTACAGTATGTTTTATGACAATTTGAATCAGGGTAGATGAGATAAGAAATAGCACGTTCCTTCCCTATGTGGGCACATGCACCCGATTGTAAAACTCGATCGTCCAACGGCTTTAGAAATTAAACTTCCCTAAAGCCGCTTTCCTGGACATTCTCGAGAATTGTCGGTAGTATTCACTGCTTGTCGTTATTTCCAGCAAATGTACCACGAAAACCTTGATTCCAACATTTAGCATAATCCTAACCACATTCATGGAAATCAAGGAAGAACGTTCTTCGTATTCACAAAAGGGATTTGAGACAAGTGGGAATAATAATACTATTTATTAAAGGATTTGCTTTAATGTTTCAATCTTTAAAGGGAACAAAGTTTAATATTGTATAAACATTTGATTTTTTCTCCTTTTTATACACCTTATCCCACATTTCAAATTAAAAGGAAAAACGTAATTACTTCATTTGTCACGTGGTGACCACATATACAGTTACATCTCAATCAGATAAGTAGAATGTAACACCAGTTAGGCTTTGTATATTCACTGTTAGACAGGAAGAAAATATTATCTAACAAAAGAAACCCGATCATTTTCATATAAAGCGTTGACGCAAGATCAGGGTAGTATCGCCCATGGAGTGATCGTTCAGTGAATGAACATTTGACATTCGCTGTTTTGTACATTACACACAGTTAGAGAACGTATTTTCTAAAGCGTCTGTTGCCAAATACATGAATAGTCTATAACATTCCATCATTGTGAAGACTGTCAGCAAGATCGGGACGCACTGTCCTGTATGAGTTTACTTTTGTGAATGTGGTAGATTTTGTTTTGTTTTAGCTACTTAAAATCGTCATTATTGTCTCAGCATGTTCGTAATGGTAAATGTAAGCAAGAATGTGCAGTTCATGTCTTCATTTGGGACAGTAGTAGTAGTAGTAGTAGTAGTAACATTCCATTCATTTCTTAATCAACAACAATTACGATGAACAACTGAGATTGGCTACTGTGGGCGTGTGCATAAATTAAAAAATTACATGATCCATGTCACGTCACAGTATGTATTCCTACACCTGGAATGTTCATCAATATCGTCATTTTTGTCTGCTTTGTTATAAACAAGTGTTTTAGATTACACTATTGTATGTTTTCGCTGTCGAAGTTAATTAGAAGCATTGACTGTGTATTTTTTCGGTTCATTGAGGTATGTATCCTTACATACATAAATATATGTAATGTAAATATAAATAAGTGTGTTTGGGTATGCATATACACACAATTATATAATATTTAGAAAAGAAATGTGTAGGACACTCAGCATGGATACATACCGACACTATTCTTATTGTCGCGTTTGTGTAACCACAGATGGCTTCTTGGACTCGCCAGCAAATCTGACCTGCATTGGCACAGGAAGCACACACTCTTACAGGCAGCCATCGGGGGGCGTTGTGACTACATGTAACTTGACCACTCCAAAATGTCTACCTGACGTGATGGTGACTTTACTTAACTCTTCCTACAGTGTTCTGACACTACCAAGGGTAAAACTAAAATTAGGTGTAGTGAAACATTTAGGGTTGCACAATAGTTTGCATGGAATGCGTATTGAGACAAAATATTTCTGACTTATAGGTATGACATGATATCATGTGTTTTGGAAATGTACATGTATACACAGATATACACGTATATATGTAAGCGGCAGTCATTTCTGTACTACTTTGTTTTTTTAACAAAATATTACTCTAGTTGTATGTTCATTATTTTAAGTAAAAGGACTGCAGAGGAAGTGAAAATACGTGTACAAGGCTATCATTGTTCTGATTCCATTGAGCTGTATTTGAAACTTGAACTGTACTTGGAATTTGAACTACTGGAAACTACAAGAAGACAATTGAAAACATCACGTATTAATATTAATGTTGGCATGTTAGATACCACAGTAAATGCAACAACATCCCTCGAAGAGACAAAGAAATTGGTCTTTGTCTGTGGTAATATGAGTTGGGAAATTGCTTGCAAAGGTACTAAGCATGCATTTATGAATGTACATCACATTGAGTTGAGGATGATGAGTGCATGGATGATGTGAAAACATTAACGTTATAATGCGCTTTTTCACAACATTCACCGACCAAAATGTGAGAGAACTGAATGTATCATTCTCTTTGGATGGCCCAAGAGTCGAAGGCGCCGGTGTTCACAAGGCCAATTTGCAAATATAAGGCATGTATAAGACCGATCATCATTGACTTGGTTTGTTTTGCCTTCCACATCAAGCTGACACGCCATGACATAACTAAAATAAACAAAACTAACTATGTCACTATTATTATTGTTAATACTTTTCCTGTACAATGTTACCACAAGTAAGGCGATCGTGTTTACTAACACACACATGTAAGGATGGGAACCTACAAAGTATCGATCAGACAAACATCAGCCCAAATGTAATTATCTCGGTTAATAGAAGCATTTAGTACACCACAATTTATTTCTTTGAATTCAATTGAGAACGAAAATCAAAGACACATAGGCGTAATTTAATGACGATATAGTGTTGTGGCTTTCCAGTCTGTTCTTCTCGGTACTTTACTGTAGTAACAAGGAGGAAGGCATGATATCTGACAACATCTATGCTTGTTGACTTGGAGACATGTGATAATAACTGGAATTTAAATGCATGTATGTATAAGTCACAAAGTTGGATTTGAATTCAATATCATTTATGAAAATAGAACGCGTTTTGAATTTTCTTTTACGAAAAGTAATAATGAATACAGTTGGGTTCAAAAGAAAACTGTTTTTCAACTCTACTGAACTTTTTGTTTATTCTTTTAAGAATAAAACTTGCCTATTCATTGAATTGGGTAGTGTTCGTGATTTCCCGAAGAACCACCCAGGGACTGCAATCTTAACCATTCGTCGCAGTAGTCCCGTCTGCAAGATAGTAGAGACACCTTTACTATATATTGGTCTGAACAAATTTTAATTTGCCTGGACAAGTAATGGAAATTTGCTTGTTTCTACACTATACACTTTTTCAGTGACGGTGGACAAAGATGCAAGCATCAGCACAAGCATTACCACCGTGGCTATCGTTGCCGGAAGCGTGGCTGTCACAATCATAGTTGTGCTGGTGATCTTTCTGGTGAGGATTAAACAGTCAAAACGGACACAGCAGCCACAAAAACACAGTGAGGAAAATGTGTACGATTCCCCTTATGACGTTGTTGGACAAACGGATGAAACATCTGGACATGAGTACAACACTTTGTACCTGATTCCTGTTCAGGGAGACAAATCCTTCTGTGATGTCATATCCAGTTAACTACACTGTGTAAATACACACGTATATTAATACCGTGACGGTATTATGCTGTTGTCTCAAAAGTTCAGGTGATAATAAGCTGGTCGGGTAGCTTTTTAAGCATTCGCACGGGGTTCGTTTTCCTAAAACGAAGCACATTGTGAGAAGCCCATTTTTTGTACTCATTCTAAGTACCCACAATACGTATTAAAATATGTCTGATTAATTTCAAAATAATTTTTCAACATTCCGGGATTAGGCTTTGGCCGGTCAGTCAACAGTCCCTGCAATTTGATTAATTAATTCCGCCAACTCTCTTTGCAAATCAGGCATAATTCATTGCACAAAGAGACTACCTTAGTTTGGCAAATGTCATAACACAGTATCATCCTGGAGTGATAGTAGGCATCCGTTTGTGGAACATGTATATAACCACCTACCCTGATGCTTTGGGGAACTTGTAACAATGCAATCAACTCTATCAATAAAACGAATGGCATTAAGCATTAAAGCATACATGAAATTCTTAACATTTACTTCAGTAAACAACATCAATTGTGTATCATAATCTTCCTGTTGGTATTTGTTAAAAGGTATGTTGATCAGTATGCCAATTCATAATATGTGGTAAAAAATGTACTTGTTCTACTGAACATGAAACAAACAGTTTCGTTAGTTAGTTTTCGTTAGTTGATCCAACAAGTTCCCAATTGTGCTAAGATCTGGATTTCGTGTGTTGGCATGTTGTGAACGTCATCAGATGAGGCGATGCTCACATCACCATTGACACTGACTAAAAAGTACTGGTCAGCTAATAAATGTTTTATTGAGGTGTACGTGGAAATGAATATTACATGTTACATACTAAAACTGTTTATAAATTATATATTTAAACATGGTTATTTAATATTTAAGTATGGGTCAATCTTTCCTGGGTGTAGGGTTAATAGAAGTGTAGGGGTATTGGATGTAGAGGTAATAGAAGTATGGGGGTATTGGGTGTAGGGTTAATAGACGTGTAGGGGTATTCGGTGTAGGGGTAATAGCAGTGTGGGGGTATTGGGTGTAGGGGTAATCGAAGTCTGGGGGTATTGGTTGTAGAGGTAATAGCAGTGTGGGGGTATTGGTTGTAGAGGTAATATCAGTGTGGGGGTATTGTTTGTAGGGGTAATAGCAGTGTGAGGGTATTGGTTGTAGAGGTAATAGCAGTGTGGGGGTATTGGTTGTAGAGGTAATAGCAGTGTGGGGGTATTGGTTGTAGAGGTAATAACAGTGTGGGGGTATTGGGTGTAGGGGTAATAGCAGTGTGGGGGTATTGGTTTTAGAGGTAATAGCAGTGTGGGGGTATTCGTTGTAGGGGTAATAGCAGTGTGGGGGTATAGGTTGTAGGGGTAATAGCAGTGTGGGGGTATTGGTTGTAGACGTAATAGCAGTGTAGGGTATTGGTTGTAGAGGTAATAACAGTGTGGGGGTATTAGGTGTTGGGGTAACAGCAGTGTGGGGGTATTGGTTGTAGAGGTAATAGCAGTCAGGGGGTATTGGGCGTAGGGGTAATAACAGTGTGGTGGTATTGGTTTTAGGGGTAGTAGCAGTGTGGGAGTATTGGGTGCAGAGGTAGTCGAAGTCTGGGGGTATTGGGTGTAGGGGTAATAGCAGTGTGGGGGTATTGGGTGTAGGGGTTATAGCAGAGTGGGGGTATTGGGTGTAGAGGTAAAAGAGAGTGTAGGGGTATTGGGTTCAAGATTAGTGAGAGTGAAGGAGTCTTGTCGTCGAAATATACTCTTCAAAGAAAGATATGCAACACAAATATTTTTAGCCATAAAAGCTAATATAGAGGATCAAGAGGTGTAAAATGAAGAGGTTCACTGTGTTAAAGTGTCAATGACAATTTTCCGGGATCAAAATGATCACAACAAGGACATGCAAACAATTAGTCAGGAAAAACGTACGATCAGGAAAAACGCACCCAGTGCATAAACAAAAGGGTCATGGAGCTGCACAAACTGTACCTGTAGCAGCACTTTGAACGATATTAAAGTGCAGGGTTTGTCATTGCTTGGCATCTGCGTCAATCGAACAGTGACAGTTCAACAATAAGCCAATATTAACAGAAGTGCAAAGGAACAACGTCGATGGCCAATGCAGGCGGGGGAATCCCGATCAGCTGTAGCCAGGGTTTTCAATGTAGCGCCCAGCGGCAAATGGCAATGGTGTTTTCCAGCAGGACAACGCTCGACCGCAATCAGCACGGATCTACTGTCTACACAGCAACAACGTTGGCCCTCCAGATTTGAACCCAATAGAACACCTGTGGGATGAATTGGATAGACGGCTACGCCGACGTCAACCACAAACCCAGACGTTGCAGCAGTTGGCTTTTGCACTGCAGGCCTAGCATACTCGTGTCTTCCAAGTGCAGGAGATGTCAGTCTGCTATGGATTCCAACAGGGGGCATACGCGTTATAGATGGTAGCTGACCTTCACCTTTGACTTTTCCTATGTACCGTTAACTGAGAAGACCAAGTCTTTTCTCAACAACATTTTGGCTTCATACCTTCAATACCTTCCTCGTACAAATGTTGTTTTCTTACCTCACACAAATCTGGCTTTGCGTTTCTTTTTTACAATAACTGTTCAGGTCAAAACTATACTTCATTAAACTACACCTGTTGGTTCAGAAAACTATATCTTTGACATGAATACCATTTCTCAACTCTTTGATGCAATGCTGTATTACTGATGTGATATGTTTAAGAGGGCGTCAACTTGAGAATTCAAAAGAATTAAGAACAGATCAACACACATGTTCTATAGATAAAATCTTATCAAATAAATAAGGGTGTAGGTATCCAAATCTACACAACAGGTAGGTAATGGAGGGAATGTGGGCGGTGGGGTAGCCTACAGGTTAAGGTATTCGCTCGTCACGCCGAACGGCTGGTTTCTCTTACCCATGGGAACAAAGTGTGAAGCACATTTCTGATGTCCCCCACCGTGATATTGTTTGAATGTTGCGAAGAGCAGTGTAAAATCTAACTCACTTCCTACTGTGACGTTCTAACCTGAGATATTCACTCCAAAATATTGATGCAGTGGTGGTCAGCTTTTGAAACTCGGCCACTGAAAACACGTTCAAGTTATATTCGGAATCAACTGCGCGTTAAAATGTTTTATTACAGATTTGATGACAGAAAATAAGTTATAAATCGTATTGTTAACGCTATTGTCTTAAACATGCACAGTGTTTTCTATGCAGTGATCGTCATAGACATCTTGATTGGGGAAGGTATATATGGTGCACCCCATTACCTCTACACTAAGCTGGTATAGAAACTGCAGGGTTCTGATAATGTAAGGCTATGAGGTGACATCAGTCGTGACAGCTTCACAACGCGCAGTTTGTTTACACGTGTTGTGTTCGTATCTAAGTTTCTGTAAGCCCTATGTTTACATCTCAGCTGTGTCTGTGCACAGCGCCAGATATCATGTCCCTCTTGAAGCAGGGAGACACCATCAAACTGCAGGAGGCATATATCCCTTAGGTAAGGATACTTCAGTTAATGCTGTCTTGCATACCCACTGGATTGACAAAGTACTCCATTGTGGTAGATTAAACTATGATCTGCCTCTTTAGGATTAACGTGAATATACTTATGCTGCAATGACTCGCTACATACTTACTAGACTATTTACCAGGGTAACCTAGTATCCCCGTAAAAGACCCGGAGCAGAACTGGTCTTAAGTAACCCAGACTTGTAAAATGCGATTAACGGGATAGGGTCGTTAGGCTCACTCTCGTGGTTGATACATGTCATCTTCCCCCAACAAAGTAGATCGATGTCAATGGTGGACGTGCGACTGTCCAGGCTCGATTATTTACAGACTGATTGCATTGTTACCATGCACAGCAGCATTCATTATCTAGTCGTTGCGTTACATGCTCAAGTAATGTAACTCTACCTTCACAAAGGGGTCCCTATTGAAATGTTGGCAAAGTATCAAAGGAACATAGACTCAAGAACGTTCGGTCGATTTTTTTTCTCTGCAGCACAGGGCCCCAATGCGCAAATAATCCAAGGCGTGCCTTTCCAGGATTCAAGTTCTGTATTCATCACACGACATATTCCTAAGGCTTCAACATAATAGTGTTTCAAATACTATTTCAAATAGCAGATTGTATGCTTGACATTTCATGAGCGATCTTAATGTTTGGTAAGTTAACGTGATTCAGCCTGTTCCAGAATCATAAGAGTCTATGGTACGATTCCGCCTATATCACAGGCGTATGTTAATGAATCGCATTCAGACAGTGAGGCTACCAGGTCTTTTCCCTACATTTTACCAAAGAATCGAAATTAATAACTAACCAGGGCAGGTTGGCACTAATCAAGATTGGCATACATCAGAATGATATTTTCAGTCATATTTTTAACACGCAGTTAATGCCAAATAAAACTGGAACGTGTTTTCAGCGGCAGACCTTCACCAGCTGACCCACTGCAACAATATTTTGGAGTGAATGTATCGGTTTGAAACATCACGACCTCTTTGCAATTAGGATACGATGACGCGCCTCAACCAAGTCAGTCAGAGGGCCTGACTACTGAACTACTTAGAAAGCTTAAGCATATTCAGAATGCAGCAGCGAGATTTATTGATGGATGTACCACAGGGAATAAAAACTGTCCTCATCTTTCCAAGCTTTCAAGTCAAACGTCAAGACGCATCTATTCAAACCAATGTATTGTGAATACACTCACAAATGGACTATTATTATTGTTATATGGAAGTGAAATCTATTGTAAAACAATGATTTAATTGTGTCACATTGGTTCTGTTAAGATTCAGTAGACGTCCATTGTATTTTGTTTTGACAATGATTATTTATCAGGAATGTAAGCACTGGTGTGGACGTTACAATATTTAAGATGCTTTAGGAGACAAGTATGTTCTAGAATATTCTTGGACAAATAGACTTATCCAGCACTGTATGGTATTTAGACTATAAAAGTGGGCAAGTGATTTCACAGGGTCACAAATCAGGAAAGGATAATTCATTCTCTCCTAGATCTAGTTCTAACACGTCTGGTTCTGAGTTTGTTGTCAAAAGGTTAAGTTCTACTTGTTTATAAATATACTTCTGGATCTTCGTTGGCGCCAACTAGTGGATATTAGGGTAAACCAGGGTCTATAATTTCTGAGTGAAGAAAGCTCACTTCTGCTTCTGCGTTTTGTGAATGTCAGGTCACAGCCTTTTTGTGATTCGGCTAAAAAGGACTAAAGCTTTTGAAGACTAGTCGTCAAAGGCCATTGGTGTAACAGAGGAGTACTTACCTTTTGTTATATATACAGGTGTGGGGGTTATATGGGTAGAAGGGTATCACTTTATCACATTCTCTAGTGGTTAAAGCGTTCGCTCGTCACGCCGAAGACCCGGGATCGATTCCCGACATGGGTACAATGTGTGAAGCCCATTTCTGGTGTCCCCCGCCGTGATATTGCTGGAATATTGACTAAAAGCGGCGTAAAACCACACTCCCTCACTCACTCAATCGCCTTATCACATACACGGGTGTGTAGGTTATATGGATAGGAGGGTATCACTTGAACACATACACGGGTGTGGAGGTTATATCAGTAGGAGGCTATCACTTTATCAGAAACACGGGTGTGGAGGTTATATGGGTAGGAGGTTATGACTTTATCACATACACAAATGTCGGGGTTATATGGGTTGGAGGGTATCACTTTATCACATACACGGGTTTGGAGGTTATATGGGTAGGAGGGTATCACTTTATCACATACACAGGTGTAGGGGTTATATGGGTAGGAGGGTATCACTTTATCGCATACACGGGTGTGGAGGTTATATTTGTGGGAGGGTATGACTTTATCACGTGCACGGGTGTGGAGGTTATATGGGTAGGAGGGTATCACTTTATCACATACACAGGTGTGGAGGTTATATGGGTTTTAGCGTATCACTTTATCGCATACACGGGTGTGGAGGTTATATGGGTAGGAGCGTATCACTTTATCACATACATGGGTGTGGAGGTTATATGGGTAGGAGGGTATCACTTTATCACATACACAGGTGTGGAGGTTATATGGGTTTTAGCGTATCACTTTATCACATACACGGGTGTGGAGGTTATATGGGTAGGAGGGTATCACTTTATCACATACACAGGTGTCGGGGTTATATGGGTAGGAGGGTATCACTTTATCGCATACACGGGTGTGGAGGTTATATTTGTGGGAGGGTATCACATTATCACGTGCACGGGTGTGGAGGTTATATGGGTAGGAGGGTATCACTTTATCACATACACGGGTGTGGGGGTTATATGGGTAGGAGGGTATCACTTTATCATATACACGGGTGTGGAGGTTATATGGGTAGGAGGGTATCACGTTATCACATACACAGGTGTGGGAGTTATATTGGTAGGAGGGTATCACTTTATCACATACACGGGAGTGGAGGTTGTGTGGGTAGGAGGGTATCACTTTATCACATACACAGGTGTAGGGGTTATATGGGTAGGAGGATATCACTTTATCAGATAAACGGGTGTGGAGGTCATATGAGTAGGAGGGTATCACCTTATCACATACACGGGTGCGGAGGTTATATGGGTAGGAGGGTATCACTTTATCAGATAAACGGGTGTGGAGGTTATATGGGTAGGAGCGTATCACTTTATCACGTGCACGGGTGTGGAGGTTATATGGGTAGGAGGGTATCACTTTATCACATACACGGACGTGGAGGTTATATGGGTAGGAGGGTATCACTTTATCACATACACAGGTGCGGGGGTTATATGGGTAGGAGGGTATCACTTTATCACATACACAGGTGTGGAGTTTATATGGGTAGGAGGGTATCACTTTATCACATACACAGGTGTGGGGGTTATATGGGTAGGAGGGTATCACTTTATAACATTCACGGGTTTGGAGGTTGTATGGGTAGGAGGGTATCACTTTATCACATACACGGGTGTGGAGGTTTTAAGGGAAGGAGGGTATCACCTTATCACATACACAGATGTGGAGGTTATATGGGTAGGAGGGTATCACTTTAACACATACACGGGTGTGGAGGTTATATGGGTAGGAGGGTATCACTTTATCACATACACAGGTGTGGAGGTTATATGGGTTTTAGCGTATCACTTTATCACATACACGGGTGTGGAGGTTATATGGGTAGGAGGGTATCACTTTATCACATACACAGGTATCGGGGTTATATGGGTAGGAGGGTATCACTTTATCAGATAAACGGGTGTGGAGGTCATATGAGTAGGAGGGTATCACCTTATCACATACACGGGTGCGGAGGTTATATGGGTAGGAGGGTATCACTTTATCAGATAAACGGGTGTGGAGGTTATATGGGTAGGAGCGTATCACTTTATCACGTGCACGGGTGTGGAGGTTATATGGGTAGGAGGGTATCACTTTATCACATACACGGGTGTGGAGGTTATATGGGTAGGAGGGTATCACTTTATCACATACACAGGTGCGGGGGTTATATGGGTAGGAGGGTATCACTTTATCACATACACAGGTGTGGAGTTTATATGGGTAGGAGGGTATCACTTTATCACATACACAGGTGTGGGGGTTATATGGGTAGGAGGGTATCACTTTATAACATTCACGGGTTTGGAGGTTGTATGGGTAGGAGGGTATCACTTTATCACATACACGGGTGTGGAGGTTTTAAGGGAAGGAGGGTATCACCTTATCACATACACAGATGTGGAGGTTATATGGGTAGGAGGGTATCACTTTAACACATACACGGGTGTGGAGGTTATATGGGTAGGAGGGTATCACTTTATCACGTACACGGGTTTGGAGGTTATATGGATAGGATGGTATCACTTTATCAAATACAACGGTGTCGAGGTTATATGGGTAGGAGGGTATCACCTTATCGAATACAAATGTGTGGAGGTTATATTGGTAGGAGGGTATCACTTTATCACATACACAGGTGTTGGGGTTATATGTTTAGAAGGGTATCACTTTATCACATACACAGGTGTGGGGGTTATATGGGTAGGGGGTGTGACTTTATCACATGCACAATTAGAAAAGGTTTTGTGTCAGTTAAGGTGACAGGTCCAAGAGCAAGCCAATTACCGCTTTGTGTGATGGGCTTCAAATTCTGCTTTTGGTAATTTGCCACTTTCTGAGATTTGGTGTCTAGGTTGGTTTAGGTGGGGAATGTAGAAACTCTCCCGGTATATGTGTAGACTTGTTTATTGGGAATGACTTGGCCGGGGAAAGATGTTTGGCTGATCCTGTTGTTTGCCATGAGCCTAGCACTTTAGAAAATATTGAAAATGTTGAAAAAGAAATTCAAGGTATTTTTCCTTCTTGTGTTGCTACTCAGCAAATTTGTACCTGAGGGTGATTCCAGTTACCTTTTGGCTGACACTTTTATTGATCATTCTCTTGACCTGTCTAAGAGAGAGTGCTCTTGGCTGTTGAGGAACCGGTTCTGGGAAGGGAGGAGCTCAAGAAATTATCAAGGCGTTGGTAAAGTTCGTCACTATAGTTGGTTTGCAGAGGACTATTCAGTCAGATCAGGATCAGTCAGATTTCATGCCAGGTGTTTTCCAACAGTCTATGCACCAGTTAGGCATAACTAAGGTTAAGTCTGGGGCATATCATCCTGCATCTCAGGGAGCTGTAGAGAGGTTTCACCAAGGCTGTTATGAGACTGAAATGATTGGGATGAAAGCATTAATTTCTTGTTGTCTGCTGCGGGGGAGTCATTTTAGGACTCTTTAGATTTTAATCCTTTTGACCTTGCCTTAGACGAAACTGTTCATGAACCTTTAAAGCAGTTGAATGAGAGTTGGCTTAATGATGTGAAATGAGTTTGTTGGAATATGTTTTAACATTTGGGGCTAGGTTTTCTAAAGTTTGTGAAGTTACAAGGGATATTTTTAATGATTTTCAGGAAAAAATGAAAGTACGCTATGACCAAATGTCTCAAGAGAAAATGTCGGTCCAGCAGTAATGTGTTTTGATTTAAAACCCCAGTTATTTATAAGATACAATTCCTACATGTATACCATTTTCTTGTTGTTTGAGAGTTTTACAATATATTATTTTGTGTACAGATTTCTGAGTTAACTTATTTTAACAACTTGGAAGTCATCACGTAACATTATAACAGTTGTATAATTAATACCCAATTCCTTTAGCATGGGTTTCTAAATATCAAATTCTAAGCTGGATATTGTGGTTTCTTTTAAAGTTTAAATTTAAGTTTAAGTTAAACTTAATATGAATACAAGACATGATCAGATAATCAGATCTCTTAAAGTGATACATGTATATCAATAATAGAACCATATGACAATACACATTAAACATTGATCCCGTTTGCTCTGTTTGCAGTGACCCACATTGATGTGGATGTACACACTACCTATATGTCTTTATATTGACAGATGATGCAGTCAATCAACAGAACAACCTTCATTATCATAGTCTCCCTTGCACAGACAGCGCTCAGTAAGTGTCTAAGAGTTGACGCATAGACAACAATGAACAATTTGAAGGAACCAATTACAATTGAACTGGCATTCTATCATATATATGGTAAACTACATACATAAAATACTATTGCTAAGAGACCTATATTAGTCGGTATTTGTTTGTGTATGTGAATCACTGGTTTATGTACTTGCATTTGTTGTATTCCTGAAAGGTACACCTCAACTATCTTGCCCTGACATATCTTACCCTGGTGTGTTTGCTCGACTGACATGCTACACGACTACCCACTACTCCATTCTCCAATACTCTGGGCCAGACGGAATAATTGCCCCACAGTGTGTAGCAAACTGGTCTTCATGTACCAACGTGGAAGGATATAATGCAAGCATTATCAACACGACCCATACTGAGCTGGGAATATTGAGTATAAATCCAACACATACAGGGCTTTGGACATGTGCTGCTCCTGGAGATGACGGCAATTCATCTTGCGAACTTCATGTCAAAAGTAGGTTGAATCTTAACATGATAAGGTCAGGGATCATATCTTTGTATAACGCGAAAATCTATATCAAACAGATCAGAATACACATAATTTAACTTAACACGTGCAAGCACACAGTGATAAAAAAAGTTATAAACTTGGAACATATACTATTGAAGACATACTTAAAATTAGAATGATCTGTCTGTTTTGTTTGCAAACCTTCAAAGTAGAAAGCCTTTCATGATCATTTCATTAAACTTGCCTTGCGAGCCAATTTCAAGTTTGTCACGTTTGACGTATCTGGAGGTCCCATACTTGATATTCGATGGAACTGTTTATCATATAACAGTTACATGATTACTATTTTGTTACACTTCAGTCAATGGAAACAGACGCAAATGGGAATGGAACTACCTGGATTATTATTTAAGGAGTTGTTGCCCTTTGATGATCGTCCTTGTTGTCATTGTTTTCTATGTCCTTAAAATAAAACGGCAGAAGAACACCTTACACACGCCAAACCAGTATTATAATGACGAACCTACAGCTACTTATGATGAGATTGTGGGCACATTGTGCCTACAAAAGGGAGCCCCGCTGTCTCCGAATCGCAACCGAGCCAGAGTAGACGAAGGAGGGTATGCATGTATTCATAAAGTCGGAAACGAAGTATCAATTTCCAACCATGTAGACATACCTGGAATAGATCATGCCATAAAGAAGCCAGGTGCGATGGAGAAAGATGAATCGGAAAAGAAAGTTGTTGATATTTAATGTTGTAATGTGAAGTTGCTTGTTTCTACACTATACACTTTTTCAGTGACGGCGGACAAAGATGCAAGCATCAGCACAAGCATTACCACCGTGGCTATCGTTGCCGGAAGCGTGGCTGTCGCAATCATTGTTGTGCTGGTGATCTTTCTGGTGAGGATGAAACAGTCAAAACGGACAGAGCAGCCAGAAAAACACAGTGATGAAAATGTGTACGATTCCCCTTATGACGTTGTTGGACAAACGGATGAAACATCTGGACATGAGAACAACACTTTGTACCTGACACCTGTTCAGGGAGACAAATCCTTCTGTGATGTCATATCCAGTTAATTACACTGTGTAAATACACACGTATTTTGATACCGTGACGGTATTATGCTGTTGCCTCAAAAGTCCAGGTGATAATAAGCTGGTCGGGTAGCTTTTTAAGCATTCGCACGGGGTTCGTTTTCCTAAACGAAGCACATTGTTAGAAGCCTATTGTTTGTACTCATTCTAAGTACCCACAATATGTATTAAAATATGTCTGATTAATTTCAGATTTAAAAAAAAAAAATAACTCTGGAGCAACAACATTCGGGGACTAGGCTTGGGCCGGTCAGTCAACAGTCCCTGCAATTTGATTAATTAATTCCGCCAACTCTCTTTGCAAATCAGGCATAATTCATTGCACAAAGAGACTACCTTAGTTTGGCAAATGTCATAACACAGTATCAACCTGGACTAATAGTAGGCATCCGTTTGTGGAACATGTATATAACCACCTACCCTGATGCTTTGGGGAACTTGTACCAATGCAATAAACTCTATCAATAAAACGAATGGCATTAACAATTAAAGCATACATGAAATTCTTAACATTTAATTCAGTAAACAACATCAATTGTGTATCATAATCTTCCTGTTGGTATTTGTTAAAAGGTATGTTGAATAATCATGCCAATTCATTATATGTGGTAAAAAATGTACATGTTCTACTAAACTTGAAACAAACAGTTTCGTTACTCAGGATCTCACACGATGATCCAGTTGATCCAACAAGTTCTCAATTGTGTTAAGATCTGGATTTCGTGGGTAGGCATGTTGTTAACGTCATCAGATGAGGAGATGCTTACATCAACATTGACAATGACGCAGAGTGTGTTGTCAAAAGGAGCGGCATCATGTTTGCGATGACTGACAGCAAATTGGATCCAACAAATTATGCATGGGACAATATATAAATTAGGTTAAATATAATAGAAAATGGAACGTTGTTTGAAGGGTTAATGAACTCAAAAGTACTGGTCACCTAATAAATGTTTTATTGAGGTGTACGTGGAAATGAATATCACATGTTACATACCAAAATTGTTTATAAATTATATACCCCCACACTGCTATTACCCCTACACCCAATAATAGCAATGTGGGGGTAAAAGCAGTCTGGGGGTATTGGGTGTAGAGGTAATAGCAGTCTGGGGGTATAGGGTGTAGGGGTAATAGCAGTGTGGGGGTATTGGATGTTGGGGTAATAGCAGTGTGGGGGTATTGGGTGTAGAGGTAAAAGAGAGTGTAGGGGTATTGGGTTCAAGATTTATGAGAGTGAAGGAGTCTTGTCGTCGAAATATGCTCTTCAAAGAATAATATGGAACGCGAATATTTTTGGCCATAAAAGCAAATATAGAGGATCCAGAGGTGTAAATTGAAGAGGTTTACTGTGTTATAGTGTCAATGACAATTTTCCGGGATCAAAATGATCACAACAAGGACATGCAAACAATTAGTCAGGAAAAACGTACGATCAGGAAAAACGCACCCAGTGCATAAACAAAATGGTCATGGAGCTGCACAAACTGTACCTGTAGCAGCACTTTGAACGATATTAAAGTGAAGGGTTTTTCATTGCTTGGCATCTGCGTCAATCGAACAGTGACAGTTCAACAATAAGCCAATATTAACAGAAGTGCAAAGGAACAACGTCGATGGCTGATGCAGGCGGGGGAGATCCCGATCAGCTATAGCCGGGGTTTCAATGTAGCGCCCAGCAGCCAATGGCAACGGTGTTTCCTAGCAGGACGACGCTCGACCGCAATCAGCACGGATCTACTGTCTACACAACAACAACGTTGATGTTCTCCCATGGCCCTCCAGATTCCCGGATTTGAACCCAATAGAACACCTGTGGGATGAATTGGATAGACGGCTACGCCGACGTCAACCACAAACCCAGACGTTGCAAGCAGTTGGCTTTTGCACTGCAGGCCTAGCATACTCGTCTCTTCCATGTGCAGGAGATGTCAGTCTGCTGAGGATTTCAACAGGGGACATACGCGTTATAATGGTAGCTGACCTTCACCTTTGTTTTTTCCTATGTACCGTTAACTGAGAAGACAAATTGTTTTCTCAACAGCATTTTGGCTCAATACCTTGAATACCTTCCTCGTACAAATGTTTTTGTCTTACCTCACACAAATCAGGCTTTGCGTTTCGTTTTTTGAAGAGTATTTTACAATAATTGTTCTGGTCAAAACTATACTTCATTAAACTATACCTGGTAGTTCAGAAAACTATATCTTTGACATGAATACCATTTCTTAACTCTTGGATGCAGTGCTGTATTACCGATGTGATATGTTTACGAGGGCATCATCTGGAGTATTCAAAATAAGTAAAACACATCAACATACATGTTCTATAGATAAAATCTTATCAAATAAATAAGTGTTTGGGTATCCAAATCTACACAACAGATAGGTAATGGAGGGAATGTGGGCGGTGGTGTAGCCTTCAGGTTAAGGTATTCGCTCGTCACGCAGAACGGCTGGTTTCTTTTACCTATGGGAACAAAGTGTGAAGCACATTTCTGATGTCCCCCACCGTGATATTGTTTGAATGTTGCGAAGAGCAGTGTAAAATCTAACTCACTTACTACTGTGACGTTTTAACATGAGATATTCACTCCAAAATATTGTTGCAGTGGTGGTCAGCTTTTGAAACTCGGCCACTGAAAACACGTTCCAGTTATATTCGGAAACAACTGCGCGTTAAAATGTTTTATTACAGCTTTGATGACAGAAAATAAGTTATAAATCGTATTGTGAACGCTATTGTCTTAAACATGCACAGTGTTTTCTGTGCAGTGATCGTCATGGACAAGTTGATTGGGGAAGGTATATATGGTGTACCCCATTACCTCAAGACTAAGCTGGTATAAAAACTGTATGGTTCTGATAATGTAGGGCCATGAGGTGACATCAGTCGTGACAGCTTCACAACGCGCAGTTTGTTTACACATGTTGTGTTCGTATCTACGTTTATGTTAGCCCTATGTTTAGATCTTAGCTGTGTCTGTGCACAGAGCCAGATATCATGTCCATCTTGATGCAGGGAGACACTGCAAACTGCAGGAGGAATATATCCCTTAGGTAAGAATACTTCAGTTAATGATGTCTTGCGTACACACAAGATCGACAAAGTACTCTGTTGTGGTCGATTAAACTATGATTTGCCTTTTTAGGATTAACGTGAATAGACTTGTGCTGCAATGACTCGCAACATACTTACAACAATATTTACCGCGGTAACCTAGTATACGGAGCAGAACTGGTCTTCAGGTACCCACACTTGTCGTAAAAGGCCACAAACGGCAACAAACGGCAACAAACGGCAACAAACAATGACTGCCGTCATGTAGTTGGAATATAGCTTAAGCAACAACACAATCCAAATTGCTATACACAATTAATGACTATCATTCAGGTGTATTGAGGTATCAAAGATATATATTGCTTTATAGGTTGTTTACATGAATTCACATATCAGTGTAAGTGCTGTTTTGATGTGGGTTTTTTTAACCTGTTTGTTATAAAAGAAACACAAAGCGAAATAATTTATATCTCAGCTTAAAGTAAATTGCACATTTGGTTTTATGTGCCTTTACGAATTAGTGAACAGATTCGAGTGTTCACGCCTTCACATCAATCAAGGATGTTACATAGTTCTTCATTATTATGTCCGTATACTTCAGAACAAGGTTTTCTTAAGAAACACCGGCACAGTTCACTTTAGGCAATAAACATAACGCATGCCAAGCTCGTTTCAATAAACACCTGTGGAGGCCTGTAATCTTTGACTCGAACACTGTTTGGATTTCTATTCCTCTTATCTGACATACAGCTGTAAGACGCAAAGTGATTTTGCTATCTGCTTGACTGGTTTTGATGGTGATTGCATTGTTACCATGGACAGCAGCATTCATTATCTAGTCGTTGCGTTACATGCTCAAGTAATGTAACTCTACCTTCACAAAGGGGTCCCTATTGAAATGTTGGCAAAGTATCAAAGGAACATAGACTCAGGAATGTTCGGTCGATTTTTTTTCTCTGCAGCACAGGGCCCCTGTGCACAAATAATCCAAGGCGTGCCTTTCCAGGATTCAAGTTCTGTATTCATCACACGACATATTCCTAAGGCTTCAACATAATAGTGTTTCAAATACTATTTCAAATAGCAGATTGTATGCTTGACATTTCATGAGCGATCTTAACATTTGGTAAGTTAACGTGACTCAACCTGTTCCAGAATCATAAGAGTCTATGGTACGATTCCGCCTATAGCACAGGCATATGTTAATGAATCGCTATCAGACAGTGAGGCTACCAGGTCTTTTCCCTACATTTTACCAAAGAATCGGAATTAATAGCTAACCAGGGCAGGTTGACACTAGTCAAGATTGGCATACATCAAAATGATATTTTCAGTCATAATTTTAACACGCAGTTAATGCCAAATAAAACTGGAACGTGTTTTCAGCGGCAGACCTGCACCAGCTGACCCACTGCAACAATATTTTGGAGTGAATGTACCGGGTTGAAACGTCACGACCTCTATGCAATTAGGATACGATGACGCACCTCAACCAAGTCAGAGGGCTTGGCAACTGAACTACTAGAAAGCTTAGCATTTTCAGAATTCAGCAGCGAGATTTATTGATGGATGTACCATAGGAAATAAAAACTGTCCTCATCTTTCAAATCAAACGTCAAGACGCATCTATTCAAACCAATGTATTGTGAATACACTCACAAATGGACTATAATTATTGTTATATGGAAGTGAAATCTATTGTTAAACAATGATTAAATTGTGTTACATTGGTTCTCTTAAGATTCAGTAGACGTCCATAGTATTTTGTTTTGACAATGATTATTTATCAGGAATGTAAGCACTGGTGTGGACGTTTCAATATTTAAGATGTTTTTTGAGACAAGTGTGTACTAGAATATTCTGGGACAGCTAGACTAATCCAGCACTGTATGGTATTTTGACTATAAAAGTGGGCAAGTGATTTCACAGGGTCACAAATCAGGAAAGGATAATTCATTCTCTCCTAGATCTAGTTCTAACACGTCAGGTTCTGAGTTTGTTGTCAAAAGGTTAAGTTCTACTTGTTTATAAATATACTTCGGGATCTTCGTCGGGGCCAACTTGTAGATCTTGGGGTAAACCAGGGTCTATAATATTTGAGTGAAGAGAGCTCACTTCTGCTTCTGCGTTTTGTGAATGTCAGGTCACAGCTTTTTTGTGATTCGGCTAAAAAGGACTAAAGCTTTTGAAGACTAGTCGTCAAAGTCTATTGTTGTGAAAGAGGAGTACTTACCTGTTGTTATATGTACAGGTGTGGGAGTTATATGGGCAGAAGGGTATCACTTTGTCACATACAGTGTTGGAGGTTATACACGTAGAAGGGTATCTCTTTATCACATACACGGGTTTGGGGGTTATATGGGTAGGAGGGTATCACTTTATCACATACACGGGTTTGGGGGTTATATGGGTAGGAGGGTATCACTTTATCATAGACACAGGTGTGGGGTTATATGGGTAAGAGGGTATCACTTTATCACATGCACAATAAGAAAAGGTTTTGTGTCAGTTAAGGTGACAGATCCATTACCGCTTTGAGGGATCGGCTTCAAATTCTGCTTTTGAGTGGTAATTTGCCACTTTCTGAAATTTGGTGTCTAGGTTGGTTGGGGTGGGGAATGTAGAAGCCCTCCCTGATAATGGTGTAGACTTGTTTATTGGGAATGATTTGGCAGGGGGAAATTGTTTGACTTATCCTGTTGATTGCCTAGCACTTTAGAAAATATTGAAATTCTGAAAAAGAAATTCAAGGTATGTTTCCTTCTTGTGTTGCTTCTCAGCAAATTTGTACCTGAGGGTGATTCCAGTTACCATTTGGCTGACACTTTTATTGCTCATTCTCTTGACCTGTCTAAGAGAGAGTGCTCTTGGCTGTTGAGGAACCAGTTCTGGGAAGGGAGGAGCTCAAGTAATTATCAAGGCGTTGGTAAAGTTCGTCACTATAGTTGGTTTGCAGAGGACTATTCAGTCAGATCAGGATCAGTCAGATTTCATGCCAGGTGTTTTCCAACAGGCTATGCACCAGTTAGGCATAACTAAGCTTAAGTCTTGGGGATATCATCCTGCATCTCAGGGAGCTGTAGAGAGGTTAACCAAGGCTGTTATGAAACTGAAATGATTGGGATGAAAGCATTAATTTCTTGTTGTCTGCTGCGGGGGAGTCATTTTAGGACTCTTTAGGTTTTAATCCTTTTGACCTTGCCTTTGACCAAACTGTTCATGAACCTTTAAAGCAGTTGAATGAGTGTTGGCTTAATGATGTGAAATGAGTTTGTTGGAATATGTTTTAACATTTGGGGCTAGGTTTTCTAAAGCTTGTGAAGTTGCAACGGATATTTTTAATGAATTTCAGGAATAAAGGAAAGTACGCTATGACGAAAAGTCTCAAGAGAAAATGTCAGTCCAGCAGTAATGTGTTTTGGTTTAATTATATGATACAATTCCTACTTTTATACCATGTACTTGTTGTTTGGGGGTTTTACAATGATTTTTTTTGGCACAAATTTCTGGGTTAACATATTGTTTCAATTTGGAAGTCATCACATAACAATATAACAGTTGTATTATTAATACCCAATTCCATTAGCATGGGTTTCTGAATATCAAATTATAAGCTGGATATTCTGGGGGTTTTTAACGTATAAATGTAAGTTAAAGTTTAACGTTATATGACTGCAAGACATGATCAGATAATCCCCGTCTCAATAATCGAAGCATATGACAATACACATTATAATTAAACATTGATCCCGTTTGTTCTGTTGACACTGGTCCCAGAATGATGTGGATGTACACACTACCTATATGTCTTTATCTTGACAGATGATGCAGTCAATCAACAGAACAACCTTCATTATCATAGTCTCCCTTGCACAGACAGCGCTCAGTAAGTGTCTTAGAGTTGACGCATAGACAACAATAAACAATTTGATTGAACTAATTACAATTGAACTGGCATTCGATCATATATATGGTAAACTACATACATATAATAATATTGCTAAGAGAACTATATTAGTCGGTATTTGTTTATGTATGTGAATCACTGGTTAATGTACTTGCATTTGTTGTATTCCTGAAAGGTACACCTCAACTATCATGCCCTGATATATCTTACCCTGGTGTGTTTGCTCGACTGACATGCTACACGACTTCCCCCTTCTCCATTCTCCAATACGCTGGGCCAGACGGAATAATTGCCCCACAGTGTATTGCAAACTGGTCTATTTGTATGCCTGTTAAAGGATATAATACAAGCATTATCAACACGACCCATACTGAGCTGAGAATATTGAGTATAAATCCAACACATGCAGGGCTTTGGACATGTGCTGCTCCTGGAGATGACGGCAATTCATCTTGCGAACTTCATGTCAAAAGTAGGTTGAATCTAAACGTCAAACACATTGATATCAGTACTGTAATGGTAAGACAGGTCTCCGAATCGCAACCAAGCCAGAGTAGACGAAGGAGGGTATGCATGTATTTATGAAGTCGGAAACGAAGTATCAATTTCCAACCATGTAGACATACCTGGAATAGATCATGCCATAAAGAAGCCAGGTGCGATGGAGAAAGATGAATCGGAAAAGAAAGTCGTTGATATTTAATGTTGTAATGTGAATTTGCTTGTTTCTACACTATACACTTTTTCAGTGACGGCGGACAAAGATGCAAGCATCAGCACAAGCATTACCACCGTGGCTATCGTTGCCGGAAGCGTGGGTGTCACAATCATAGTTGTGCTGGTGATCTTTCTGGTGAGGATGAAACTGGTGAGGATGAAACAGTCAAAACGGACACAGCAGGCTGAAAAATATGTGTACGATTCCCCTTGGGCATGAGTACAACACTTTGTACCTGACTCCTGTTCAGGGAGAAAAATCCTTCTGTGATGTCATATCCAGTTAATTACACTGTATAAATACACACGTATATGTATACCGTGACGGTATTATGCTGTTGCCTCAAAAGTCCAGGTGATAATAAGTTAGTCGGGTAGTTTTTTAAGCATTCGCACAGAGTTCGTTTTCCTAAAACGAAGCACATTGCTGAAGCCCATTTTTTGTACTCAGTCTAAGGTGATACCTTGAATATTGCTAAAAGCCTTACCCACAATATGTATTAAAATATGCCTGATTAATTTCAGAATAAATTGTGTGTTTTTTTTAACTCTGGCGCAACAACAGTGGGGGACTAGGCTTGGGCCGGTCAGTCAACAGTCCCTGCAATTTGATTAATTAATTCCGCCAACTCTCTTTGCAAATCAGGCATAATGCATTGCACAAAGAGACTACCTTAGTTTGGCAAATGTCATAACACAGTATCAACCTGGACTGATAGTAGACATCCGTTTGTGGAACATGTATATAACTACCTACCCTGATGCTTTGGGAAACTTGTAACAATGCAATAAACTCTATCAATAAAACGAATGGCATTAAGCATTAAAGCATACATGAATTTCTTAACATTTAATTCAGTAAACAACATCAATTGTGTATCATAATCTTCCTGTTGGTATTTGTTGAAAGGTATGTTGATAATCATGCCAATTCATAATATCTGGTAAAACAATGTACATGTTCTACTGAGCATGAAACAAACAGTTTCGTTACTCAGGATCTCACACGACGATCCAGTTGATCCAACAAGTTCTCAATTGTGTTAAGATCTGGATTTCGTGGGTAGGTATGTTGCTAACGTCATCAGATGAGGCGATGCTTACATCACCACTGACACTGACGCAGAGTGTGTTGTCAAAAGGATCGGCATCATGTTTGCGATGACTGACAGCAAATTGGATCCAACACATTACGCATGGGACCAAATATAAATTAGGTTAAATATAATAGAAAATGGAACGTTTTTTGAAGGGTTAATGAACTCAAAAGTACTGGTCAGCTGATAAATGTTTTATTAAGGTGTACGTAGAAATGAATATCACATGTTACATACTTGAATTGTTTATAAATTATATATTTATGGTTATTTAATAAAAGTATGGGTCATTCTTTCCTGGGTGTAGGGGTATGGGATGTAGAGGTAATAGAAGTGTGGGGGTATTGGGTGTAGGGTTAATAGACATGTAGGGGTATGGGGTGTTGGGGTAATAGAAGTGTTCGGTTATTGGGTGTAGGGGAAATAGAACTGACAGGGTATTGGGTGTAGAGGTAATAGAAGTGTGGGGGTATTGGGTGTAGGGGTAATAGAAGTGTGGGGGTATTGGGTGTATGAGTAATAAAAGTGTGGGGTTATTGGGTGAAGGGGTAACAGAAGGGTAGGAATATTGGGTGTAGGGGTAACAGAAGTGTAGGGGTGTTGGGTGTAGGGGTAACAGAAGTGTAGGAATATTGGGTGTAGGGGTAACAGAAGTGTAGGGGTGTTGGGATAATAGAAGTGTGGGGGTATTGGGTGTATGAGTAACAGAAGTGTTGGGATATTGGGTGAAGGGGTAACAGAAGTGTAGGGATATTGGGTGTAGGGGTAACAGAAGTGTAGGGATATCTGGTGTAGGGGTAATGGAAGTGATGGGGTATTTGGTGTAGATGTAATAGAAGTGTTGGGGTATTGGGTTTAGGGGTAATTGAAGTGTGGGGGTATTTGGTGAAGGGGTAATAGAAGTGTTGGGTTATTGGGTGAAGGGGTAATAGAAGTGTTGGGTTATTGGGTGTAGGGGTCATAGAAGTGTGGGGGTATTGGGTGAAGGGGTAACGGAAGTGTGGGGGTATTGGGTGAAGGGGTAATAGAAGTGTTGGGTTATCGGGTGAAGGGGTAATAGAAGTGTGGGGGTATTGGGTGTAGAGGTAATAGAAGTGTTGGGTTATTGGGTGTAGGGGTCATAGAAGTGTGGGGGCATTGGGTGAAGGGGTAACAGAAGTGTGGGGGTATTGGGTGAAGGGGTAATAGAAGTGTTGGGTTATTGGGTGAAGGGGTAACAGAAGTGTTTGGGGTATTGGTTGAAGGGGTAACAGAAGTGTAGAGATATTGGGTGTAGGGGTAATGGAAGTGATGGGGTATTGGGTGTAGAGGTAATAGAAGTGTTGGGGTATTGGGTTTAGGGGTCATTGAAGTGTGGGGGTATTTGGTGAAGGGGTAATAGAAGTGTAGGGTTATTGGGTGAAGGGGTAATAGAACTGACCAGGTATTGGGTGTAGAGGTAATAGAAGTGTGGGGGTATTGGGTGTAGGGGTCATAGAAGTGTGGGAGTATTTGGTGAAGGGGTAATAGAAGTGTTGGGTTATTGGGTGAAGGGGTAATAGAAGTGTTGGGTTATTGGGTGTAGGGGTCATAAAAGTGTAGGGGTATTGAGTGAAGGGGTAACAGAAGTGTGGGGGTATTGGGTGAAGGGGTAATAGAAGTGTTGGGTTATTGGGTGAAGGGGTAATAGAAGTGTGGGGGTATTGGGTGTAGAGGTAATAGAAGTGTTGGGTTATTGGGTGTAGGGGTCATAGAAGTGTGGGGGTATTGGGTGAAGGGGTAACAGAAGTGTGGGGGTATTGGGTGAAGGGGTAATAGAAGTGTTGGGTTATTGGGTGAAGGGGTAACAGAAGTGTTGGGGTATTGGTTGAAGGGATAAACGAAGTGTAGAGATATTGGGTGTAGGGGTAATGGAAGTGATGGGGTATTGGGTGTAGAGGTAATAGAAGTGTTGGGGTATTGGGTTTAGGGGTCATTGAAGTGTGGGGGTATTTGGTGAAGGGGTAATAGAAGTGTTGGGTTATTGGGTGAAGGGGTAATAGAACTGACCAGGTATTGGGTGTAGAGGTAATAGAAGTGTGGGGGTATTGGGTGTAGGGGTCATAGAAGTGTGGGAGTATTTGGTGAAGGGGTAATAGAAGTGTTGGGTTATTGGGTGAAGGGGTAAGAGAACTGACCAGGTATTGGGTGTAGTGGTAATAGAAGTGTGGGGGTATTGGGTGAAGGGGTAACAGAAGTGTGCGGGTATTGGGTGTAGGGGAAATTGAAGTGATGGGGTATTGGGTGTAGAGGTAATAGAAGTGTTGGGGTATTGGGTTTAGGGGTAATTGAAGTGTGGTGGTATTGGGTGAAGGGGTAACAGAAGTGTAGGGATATTGGGTGTAGGGGTAATGGAAGTGATGGGGTATTGGATGTAGAGGTAATAGAAGTGTTGGGGTATTGGGTTTAGGGGTAATTGAAGTGTGGTGGTATTGGGTGAAGGGGTAACAGAAGTGTAGGGATATTGGGTGTAGGGGTAATGGAAGTGATGGGGTATTGGGTGTAGGGGTAATAGCAGTGTGGGGTATTAGATGCAGGGGTAATAGCAGTGTGCGGGTATTGGGTGTAGAGGTAATAGAAGTGATGGGGTATTGGGTGTAGGGGTAATAGAAGTCTGGGGGTTTTGGGTGTAGGGGTATTGGGTGTAGGGGTATTGGATGTAGGGGTAATAGCAGTTTAGGGTATTGGGTGTAGGGGTAATAGAAGTGTTGGGATATTGGGTGTAGAGGTAATAGAAGTGTGGGGGTATTGGGTGTAGGGGTAACAGAAGTGTTGGGATATTGTTTGAAGGGGTAACAGAAGTGTACAGATATTGGGTGTAGGGGTAATGGAAGTGATGGGGTATTGGATGTAGAGGTAATAGAAGTGTTGGGGTATTGGGTTTAGGGGTAATTCAAGTGTGGTGGTATTCGATGAAGGGGTAACAGAAGTGTAGGGATATTGGGTGTAGGGGTAATGGAAGTGATGGGGTATTGGGTGTAGGGGTAATAGCAGTGTGGGGTATTGGGTGTAGGGGTAATAGAAGTCTGGGGTATTGGATGCAGGGGTAATAGCAGTGTGCGGGTATTGGGTGTATTGGTAGTAGAAGTGATGGGGTATTGGGTGTAGGGGTAATAGAAGTCTGGGGGTATTGGGTGTAAGGGTATTGGGTGTAGGGGTATTGGATGTAGGGGTAATAGCAGTTTAGAGTATTGGGTGTAGGGGTAATAGAAGTGTTGGGATATTGGGTGTAGAGGTAATAGAAGTGTGGGGGTATTGGGTGTAGGGGTAACAGAAGTGCTGGGATATTGCTTGAAGGGGTAAAAGAAGTGTACAGATATTGGGTGTAGGGGTAATGGAAGTGATGGGGTATTGGGTGTAGAGGTAATAGAAGTGTTGGGGTGTTGGGTTTAGGGGTAATTGAAGTGTGGGGGTATTTGGTGAAGGAGTAATAAAAGTGTTGGGTTATTGGGTGAAGGGGTAATAGAACTGACCAGGTATTGGGTGTAGAGGTAATAGAAGTGTGGGGGTATTGGGTGTAGGGGTAATAGAAGTGTGGGGGTATTGGGTGTATGAGTAATAGAAGTGTAGGGGTATTGGGTGAAGGGGTAACAGAAGTGTTGGGGTATTGGGTGAAGGGGTAACAGAAGTGTAGGGATATTGGGTGTAGGGGTAATGGAAGTGATGGGGTATTCGGTGTAGAGGTAATAGAAGTGTTGGGGGTATATGGTTTAGGGGTAATTGAAGTGTGGTGGTAGTGGGTGAAGGGGTAACAGAAGTGTAGGGATATTGGGTGTAGGGGTAATGGAACTGATGGGGTATTGGGTGTAGAGGTAATAGAAGTGTTGGGGTATTGGGTTTAGGGGTAATTGAAGTGTGGTGGTAGTTGGTGAAGGGGTAACAGAAGAGTAGGGATATTGGGTGTAGGGGTAATGGAAGTGATGGGGTATTGGGTGTAGGGGTAATATAAGTCTGGGGTATTGGATGTAGGGGTAATGGCAGTGTGCGGGTATTGGGTGTAGAGGTAATAGAAGTGTTGGGGTGTTGGGTTTAGGGGTAATTGAAGTGTGGGGGTATTTGGTGAAGGAGTAATAGAAGTGTTGGGTTATTGGGTGAAGGGGTAATAGAACTGACCAGGTATTGGGTGTAGAGGTAATAGAAGTGTGGGGGTATTGGGTGTAGGGGTAATAGAAGTGTGGGGGTATTGGGTGTATGAGTAATAGAAGTGTAGGGGTATTGGGTGAAGGGGTAACAGAAGTGTTGGGGTATTGGGTGAAGGGGTAACAGAAGTGTAGGGATATTGGGTGTAGGGGTAATGGAAGTGATGGGGTATTCGGTGTAGAGGTAATAGAAGTGTTGGGGGTATATGGTTTAGGGGTAATTGAAGTGTGGTGGTAGTGGGTGAAGGGGTAACAGAAGTGTAGGGATATTGGGTGTAGGGGTAATGGAACTGATGGGGTATTGGGTGTAGAGGTAATAGAAGTGTTGGGGTATTGGGTTTAGGGGTAATTGAAGTGTGGTGGTAGTGGGTGAAGGGGTAACAGAAGAGTAGGGATATTGGGTGTAGGGGTAATGGAAGTGATGGGGTATTCGGTGTAGAGGTAATAGAAGTGTTGGGGGTATATGGTTTAGGGGTAATTGAAGTGTGGTGGTAGTGGGTGAAGGGGTAACAGAAGTGTAGGGATATTGGGTGTAGGGGTAATGGAACTGATGGGGTATTGGGTGTAGAGGTAATAGAAGTGTTGGGGTATTGGGTTTAGGGGTAATTGAAGTGTGGTGGTAG